GTGAGGCATTGGAGAGCCTACCAGTAGGGTTCAAGGTCCCAGAGTTTTTTGAGTGATTCCGTGGTCAGGGCTTTTGAGGGACAAGAATTCCGACAAGAGTGTCCAGCATACGAAAAGATTTGTGCGGCTGCTTGTTGCCAGGTCCGCATCACAAAGCCGATCGAAGGATGGTTGTCAACAATGTCCAATGATGGCGCGGCACTCAAGCCTTCGAGGATCTTCGAGGCTGAGTACGGGTGTCTTTTGATGTCCTGGCAGTATCTGGCAGTCATGCCAAAACGTGAAACCCGCCTAAAATCCTAAACTTCGACGACTTTTTGGCACTCTTTGGTTCGCGGACCGCAAACTTCGGATTTCATCATGGGAATCCTTCTGCAGAGGCTTCTATATCTTGTGGTTTATGGTGGATGGTGTTGGAAAACTCCACAAGCCTTTCCCCGAATTCTAAAACAGCACGTTGCCAAGGCATTGAGATCGTGAGAAGCGTGAAGGTGGATGACTTGCGCGAGGAATGCGTGGGGCCTAGTTTAACTAGGATGCTCTGGCGAGTTCCCGTGGGAGGGCTAGGTCTTTGGCGGTGTATTTCCATCTGCTACCCAGGAACTGTGAAGGCGGAGAGTGATAAGCTAGACATGGCGTCGCCGTCCTAAACCTTACAGATGCGCTGCTAGTACAACTTTTACTGCTGTTGCGGCTACACTTACTACGGCAACTACTAGCACTACTGCTGCTAGTACGAATGTTTTTCAACAAAAACATGTTGTTTTTTTGTTGGAAGTTTGTGTTTTTTCAATGAAAATTGCCGTCGATCAGAACCTGCAAGGGTTGAGGGAGCCCCCAAAAACGCCCCCTCAAAACGCCCGTCGAGTGGGTATTTTCTCAGGCGAACCCATCATCTGTCTTGAGTGCCTAGAACATGCATCTCAAATTCTAGAACGGGCTCGATAAGTTTCACGAAAACGACTGGTTTAATGGTTGGATGGTTGCAAGGGAATGTGCACAAACCCAGGGGAACCGCTGAGGCGGTGACCCATATATGTATATGCATATATATACATACTTCTTTCTTTTTTGCTCCCTCCCTCTCTCTCTCCCTCCGTCTCCGTCTCCCCAAACACAGTGGCAACACTTTGCCAGTTGGGTCCAAGTCGCGCTCTCACTTGGGCATGGCCTTTGGGTTTCGGTGTCATCGTCACGTGACAAATCGCCCTCTCGCCGTGGTCCTGCGTGCCTCTGTGATCCAAATCGCGTTCCCAGGTCTTGCGCACTTTTCGGGGATTGTCGCGAAAACGTGGGCGGGGCGCACTGTCCTGCCCCTCGGGCTGTCGTGTGCGTTCTCTTCGCGCGTCCATTTGTGTTTCGCCGTGTTCCAAATGGTGCTCCCGCTTCGGTCCCGCACGCGCGCAGTGTTTCCGGAGGTCTTGGAGTGCTTTTGGAGATCATGGAGTGCATGTCAAGTCTGCTATCGCTTTTTCCCGTGCGTTATCTAGCAAGGGCATGCTTTGTTTAGAAGGCTTACTGTAGCTGACAGCACTTAAGCCCATGATAAACTTGTAGTGCAGGTCTGCAAACCTCCCCTCTCCCTATATTTCCCTCGACTCCAGACTAACACTGGTTAGGCACTTGTCACCTGAACCTGCTGCCCAGTCCGGCGTCGGTCCAATGATGAGTTGCCAGCCAATGCTACCGCCAGGGGCTCATGACATGACATGGTTGCTTTTGGTGGTTTGGGTGGATTAATGCTGGTTAAGGGGTCGCAAGGTTTTCGAGTGTTGCGCTACTCAGGCAGCCGTTGGGCCTTGGGAGGAACAGTGAGGGTCAAGCAGCGCCACTGCTGAAAGCAAGAGTGTGAGTAATAAGGTTTCCACAATAATACACAGTGTGACCAAGCTAAGCTCCCCAACTGTTGGGCTGAAGCCCCTGCTGATACTTGCTTCCCGAACCGCAGCTCTCGCGCCAAGGTGAAGGAGGGCGTGAATCGTCTCGAGAAAGAATTGCTGAAGTTCCACCCTTGGCGGTTGGCATTCAGGGCGAGGTTGCTTAGTAATGTGGGGGAACGACCTAAAAGACAGTACATGATGATGATTGTTGGCGCATCAAGTGTGTTCCCATCGTCGGAGTAACCTTGAACCAGCCTTAAAGCATCTCAAAAAGAGATCTCAAGCCTTGACGCATCTGAGGCCCCAACCCTAAGCATTACAACCCCGGTACCCTCGGCCCTTTCCCGAGGCTGCGGGGCAAAGAGGGAAAGCTGCTGGAGGCTCTGGTGCGGCCCCCGGCAAACTGCAGATTTGCACACGGAATTCTCAAGTTGTTTGAGGACTTTTTTCGTTTTATGCCCATGTTTTTTCCATTGTTTTGGGTCAGTTTTAAGTGAGGAACTGGGGAAGGAAGCATGGGAGGCAGGAAGGAAGGAAGCAACTTGAGGCTTCCGTATGCATGTTTGAGTCATGTCCCAAGCCGACATGCAGGCCGTTGTGTTGCAATCGGGGTGTGGGGGGGGGCGGGGGGGGCGGGGGGGGGGGGCAATCAGCTGTGCCAGCTTACGTTCAAGAAGTTTCCCCATTTGAATCTTCTCGGCTCCGTCATGCAAACGTTGTTTCAGTCAAGCGTTGTTAGGCCTCTATTTTAAGTACAGTACAGTACAGGAATATCACAATTTTTGCAAGTGTAGTTCTGGAATGAACGAAAAGTATTGACAGCACGCATGCACATACACATATACATATAATATATATGTATGTATATATATATATATATTAAATGACTCTCTATAGCTATTGTTATGTATTTTGTGTACGGAATGTATGTATAAGGACTGTGAAAAGTTTCATAGTATGCATGATTTCTGCGGCTGGTATTACGTCTTATTCACATGCGTATATATGGTTGTTCAGTGTGCGTTTCCTTCCCTCCCATCGTCTACGGTCTCCCCTATACCAACCCTCACCCCTAAACTTTAAACCTTAAGACCTAAACCCGAAACCCTGAACCCCGGACCCTAAACCCTGAACGCTAAACCCTAAACCCTAACCCTAAACCCTAAAGCCCTAAACCCTAAAACCCTAAACCCTAAACCAACCCACAACAACCATTTATGCATGCTGTTGATCGATGTGAATCTTAGGCCTTATTTGAACGCTTTGCATAAACATGCTTAAAATTTGGACAATGCTCAATGACACTGATGGGAATTTTTGCAGATAGTTTACTGTATAGGGAGTAACAAAGAAGTAGCAACGTTAGTATGTACATACACTCTAATTCATTTGCATTTTGTCATGCGCTTGTAGTATAGGCTGTATGTTGTATACCCTTACTGCATCACACATATTTATGGACGAGTATACAACATCATCAAATTTTCTTCAGGTGCCAGCAGAGAACATGGAATGTTTGAGAGATAAAATACCATCTTGTTTTTGATGTACTACCGGATATGTAACATAACAGTTCTGTTGTGCTATGCACGCACACCAAACTTCAAGACATACGGATGTTTTCGTAGACCTATTGAGAAAAGCGAGATCTTCCGAACAAAGCCAGAAAGAAACGTCTGTTGAGTCGGAGAGTGTCGCCGTTCGTGATTTGGAGTGCGCATGGCGCTTATATGGCAGATGGGACACAGCTTAGAAGATTAAGCTATGGGATGTTGGGGCACCTTAAGCCCTAGGCTTCATGCGGCTGGTGGAACCCCTTGAGGGTCAGGTCATGACAGGTCGCTTGGCACGCTCCACCTCGAAATCTAGACCATTCCCTGAGTGTCAAACCCTCTGAAACTGTACAGGAGATGGCAGCTCGCAAGATCTCCGACAAAGCCAAGGCCTTTCGGCGCATGGTGGGACCTCTGTGGGGCTCCGAGGCTCCGAGGCACCGAGGCTCCGATGAACTTTTTGAAAACTCACCTGGGGAAGCCCGGAGCCGGGCAAGGACTGAAAGCCCGGAACCCCATCCTCCTAAATGAGCCCCCGTTTCACCCCCAAAAGGTTCACCAGTTGGCAGACACGGCCAGTGACAACGCCGCCAAGGCGCGGGTTGAGCATCCTGAGTTGAGTGAGTTGAGCATCCTCGGAGGCTTTTTGGGCAGTCTGCAAGTTACCCTGCAAGATCCTGCAAGCATGGTGTCTGCCAAACGGCCCCCCTTTGGACGGCCAGTTCGGGGTGCCATGCTCGCAGAAAAAAAGGTGAAGAAGACAGCTGTCGTGGTGCCTCAAGCGACCAGAACAGAGTTACTTTTGGCGTAGTTCAACACAATCAGAACGGCGGTTACAAGGATGTGCTCCGTTAAGCGCGGTTACCGATATCAGCTTGCTGGGTCAGGACAACCCTGCGCTGATGCCATACATAGACCATGCAAGTTTACGGCGGCTACCGCAAAGCACCGCCTTCCAGCCTCCGCTTTGTGACCCAAGGACAGGAGCGTACGTAGTCGGTCTGTGCCAGTCGTCTTCGCTACAACCCCCCCCCCTCCGTGCCTTCTACACGATTTCCAAGTTGCACTGATGTGCCTTCCCCTCCATGAAGCCGGGAACTGAGGCGGTGCATGCCGACTAGTTACCTAGTTTGCCGGATCCGTCCCAGCCAGGGCTTTCCGGGTCTCGTTTCAACCCCAGCTTGGCAGACCAGCTCGGTCTTGACTGCTCCCCCTTCCCGAACCGTGCCTCGACAGGCTCTTGAGTTGCAGTGCTTTTGCAGTGCTCCTGCGGCCACTGACGATGATGCTCTGCCATCAGCTGATCCGCAGGCTTCTGAGCCCCGACTTCATCTTGTTGTTTGTGTGCTTTCGGGGGCTCGTGGGCTTCCGAGAACTAGCTCCATCCATGAGGACGCCATGAGGGTCCTGACTCGGCGAGGGGCCCCGTGGCTTCGTGCCCTCCTCACATCGACCAGTATGCCTTGCCTGGTGGCCATACTGCCGAGCGGACCTGGGCTTTGTGCTCCCCAGCTTGAGCTCAAGGGTCCTTCGGCCTTGCGCTCCGGTTGCTGCCCTGTCTTCTGGGATGGCCGTCCTGGTGCTTGTCCATGCCACTCCCACCGCTGTCCCTGCCGCTTTGTTTACTGAGTCTACTGCTCTGTCTTCGTTTCCGGGACCAGCAGCTGCAAGGAAACCATGGGCACAAAACACAAGTATGGCTGATCCGTTGGCGCCCGCCATGATTGCAGCTTGTCTCAGAATGAAAACCCTTGAGCCTTGTGGAGGGTAAGGTGTGAGAGAAAATTTGGTTTGGATGGGTTAAGTTTGGTTCAGTCAAATCGTAGAGAATTATTCAAAGCTGGGACCGCCAGCGGCGAAATAAACTTCCCACATATCTCGAAGCCCTGACTGTCTAGTTCAAATGCCGTCAGGTCATCAGCCGTGTGGAGCAAGCCATCAGCAAGATTGACGTGGGAAGGCCTTCCGATGTGCTCAGGATCGCTTGTAAACGTGTCGCTGTAGATGTTACATCCCTGGAACCTGGAACTTGGGAGTTTGCTGCTCAGTTGGATTTCCTGGAGTTTTCTGAGTTTTCTTGGGTTTCCTTGGGCTTGGACCTGCTGAGTTTCATTCCGCAGCTCGACACGGGCCATGCCCAGCCGTTCCCAGCCGTGCCCAGTCTGGACGTGCAGAAGATCACCAGCGACATCTTGAACGGAAAGGTGCAACGGATTGCACTTCTATGCATGGGATGTGCATGAACTCAGGTTTTACTGGTTGCTTAAGGGTACCTAACAACGTCTCAAATCCCAACCCCAGGGCAGGAAGTGCATCTGTAAGGCAAACTGCTTGACGTGCTTGCTTTGCTTGGAGTGGCAGAAAAACATTGATCAAGCCTGCATGTCATTTTCAAACCATGGCTCGGGAGAGCGCTCGTTTGGCGAGTGACAGGGGAGTGGGAGGGAGTACTGAAGGCGAGCAGCCTGTGGCAGTAGTTTTGCTCCCTGGAGCTCGGTGTATGCAAGGGACATCTAAGCAGCGCCTTCCAGGCAAAGTCGAGGAGAAGCTACGGGGCCCCAAGACTTTCAAGCCACAAAGTTAGCTACAACCCACAATCCTCGAGCCAGAAGCACCCCTTGTCACTAAGACCGTTTCCCCGCGCGTGGCCCAGGTGGACCTCACTGGGCTCGCGAAAGAGATCGATCTGGGCCCTCCCACGAAGACCGAGGAGCCCTCGTCGTTTTTTTTTGTTTTTCGCCCATGGCCTGGAGCATTGCTTCAAGAGCTGTTGGCCCAAAGCCCAGCACCCTACTGCGTAGTGCTGAAGCTGCGATCAGCCCAAACTTCTTGCACTAGTCGTGCCAATTCCCAAAACTATCCAAACTCCAGGCGCCGAAGATCGACATTGTCGCAGCCCTGGTTCGGGGTTGGGGGGTGTTCCTTCATTTCCTTCCCAAATCGATCAAGGGAGTTCCCCTTCAGTAGCCGGCCTCTGGAGACTCTGAAGCGCCGAACCGCTCAGGTAGAGTGATGGAGGCAAAGCTGACTTCGTCCAGACTGCAATGCTATGATATGTTTGTCAATTGGAATCTTGAACCCTTGCTTCGGGGTTCACGAGGTTATGGAAGATGAACTTCCGGGCACGTGCAGAACCGTATCTCTACGTGACAAGACAGGCTAGAGAGCAAGAGGGATTCACTTATGCCATCTCGGATTTTAGCGTTTTTTCGCCATTTCTATCCTTGTCTAAGGCATACTGCAAGTGCCAGCCAGCACAACTTGTGCTCGAGGGAAGATGGTGCTCTCCAGCAGACAGGCTTCTTGACGACGGCTTCAAACCGTCTCTCTCTGACGTTTGGAAGCTCCATTCCAGCATTCCAGAAGGTTGTGGAAGCCTGTTTGCCTGGATCCATTCTTGCCAGTTTCATTCACACCTAGCACTGATTTCCCCCTTGCTTAGTCGGTGAGTTGAGGATCATCCTCGGCCGAGGAGTGAGCGAATCCCTTGAGAGAAAGACCCTCCAGCCTTAACGCCGAAAGCCCCAAGCCCCAAGCCCGTTGTGAGGCTGAGCCCAACATCCCCAAACTTGTCAGTTACGCGCGACTCATGAAATTCCTTGGCCTCTTTCTTCTAGATATGGTGACTGTTCTTAAACCTCTTCCCCTTCAGCTCCACGCTCTCCCTAACCTCACAAATGTGAACGGACCTAGTTTGCAGATCGCTTGCGGGTTGTCAAAGAGATTGTTAACAAGTGTCGCCCTCTCCAGCCCAGCGTCCCTGGAGAAGAGGTCGCGAAGCTGACCCCTCTCAATGCCCTCCGGAAGTGTGCCAGTGCTCGTACCCTACCCTGCAGTAAAACCCTAAATCGGTCAATGGTTCATCTGCGAGCGGGGCCCTTCACCTGGCGGCTTCGAGCAAAGAAATGCTGGAGTCTTGCACCGCCAGGCTGCTCCCAGCCCGAGGAACTGAGACCTTGCTCGAGCGCTCTTTAGGGTCGGCCTGGAATAGTTTTTCGCCATCAGTCGGTTAAGTTTGAATACATGTTCTTGAGTTTATGTTTGAAAGGCATGAACTAAATGTGAAAGCCCATCAACATAGAAGGCACGGTTTGGGGTTCTGTCCTCAGAAAAAGGTGGGCCGTGGTGGCCCCGAGCTTGGGCCCTTCACGGCTCCGTTTGGCTCCAGGGTGGGTGGGCCGTGGGCCGTCGCTTCCTTCCCATCATGGTTCCCGTTGTGGCTCCCTTCATGGCTCCCTTCCTTCCTCCTGGGTCGGATGGGGAATCTTTCTGGCTGCTGGGTTCCTGCCTTTTCCTTTGCCCCTCTTATTTCTGACGCTTGTGCGTGCTGGCACACAAGTCTCGGTGCATATGCATTTTGTCACGCAAGCAAAGTCTCAATGTCATCTCACTTGTAGATGCTAGGTTCGGGGCAAGCACTGCAAATTTTTCATTTTATTGGCGACAGTCAACACGTCTCTTGTATCCCGAGCTTGTTTATGAACATTCTGGCCGTGCCGTCTCGGCACGTGGGTATCTTGTCCCTCGCAAAAATAGCTTCTCGCTTGCGGAAAAAGCCGTCGTTTTCTCCGCGGCACCCAGTTTTTGCGTGCGACAGCCGCCGCATTTTGTGTGTCTTCGGGCTGGATCAGTCGTGCGAGGGTGGGTTGCACTTGGCGTGAGATTGTCACCCGGACGACCCCGTGTCTGCAATGACGCGGTGGGCCAGGGTTTGCGGGCCAAGGATGGCCAACGTGCGCCCGGGACCTCGCCGTGATTCGCCGTGTGCTCATTCCCTGCTCCATTACGAAGCCAGTCAAACGACAGTGTTGAGACACCCGACAGGTCGAGCAGCTTCAAATTAACATCTTCTGAAAAACCGGCTCGCTGATGGTGGCCCAATGGTTCCTCATCCGCGCAGTATCCCTCTCCCCATCTCATTGATGAAGGGAACCACTGGGAGCGGTTTGCAGCCGTCCATCCGACCGAGCCAGGACAAAAGCACTACAGTGAGCCCACTGTTCGGCCCGAATGCCAATCTGCCCCAGGGGCCATGAAGGGTGCCCAGGTCGCATCGCCGCGGCCCGCTTATCCAGCCACCGCGGCCCACTCTTTTCTGGGGAGCAAACCCCAAACCGTTCCTACTAGTACTTGAATCCCAACTTGAGATCCGGCTGTTCATTGCTTTCCTCATGACCTGGTGGATGTTCAGCATTTGTTCAGCATTTGGTGTTGGTTTTAGGTTCAGGGGACATGTCTTGGGCATCTTCCACGCGTCGGTCCTCGGTGTAGAAAGCGGCTGCGCCACCCTGTCGGGCGGAACACGCCAGAAGCACTAAAACATGAACGTCTTGGCTGGGCTGCAGTGAACCCATGTGTTGGACAGTTTAGCGCTGAGGGCTAAAGGGTTTGAAGTTCACCATTTGGGCGTCGTGGAATTCTGAACGATTGGGGAGCTTGGGCAAGTTTATGTTCATGTGTTGTTGCAAGGTAAGTGGTAACCTCAAGTGAAAACCTTGTTGCCAGTTGTCTGACCCCATCCTTGAGACCTATACCTCCATGTGGCCTTGCAAAGCACAACACAGCTTGTCCAGAACGACACGGCAGAACACACGAGCGTCAGAATTCCCATTCTTCATGATCTCGTCTGCACGCAACTCGCCCCGGAGTTGAGGGTGCTTTTGGAATTGGGTGGTTAGGGCTTTGGAGGTTTGGCGTTGGCATCGATTCCTTGACAGCACTGTTCAGCTCAGCCAATTCCAGAAGCCTTCTACTACCGGTGGTTATTTAGTGTCGTGTCTCATACAGCAAGTGTGCTACCCAGGACTTTTGCAACATCATCCAACGACTTCAAACCCCCCTTCTTGGCACCGTATTGCACTGATCTGAGATCGATCGCCGAGGAGTTTGGCTGAATTTCTCGGGCTCCCTGAGTGGCTTCTGCTGGAGCTCACAAGGGCGTATTCTCTGTGTTTATGGTTGAAACCCAAAGAAGCAACGACAACAGATGCGATAGTCAGGTTGCCACGATCCCTATAGCCGCAGCGAGCGTATTGCTCTGCCCCCTAGACCCTGCACCCGAAAGCGTAAGTCCTGGACGCTGTTGTATGATCCCTCGTGCCACGCTGCCACATTACAATGTCGGTCGCGCACGTAGCCACGCTCAAAGCACCGCAACAACCAAATCTGAACCCAAAGCTCTGAGCCTTAAATCCTAAACAGCCTAAACCCCTCAATCCAAAACCTTGAGATCCTCAAGCAGAATCTGCAGCCCCACTCTCTGAGTAGATCACATGCTTGGTGATATGACGCCTTCGAATCGCCTTCTAGATCCCTCAAATTCTATGCTTAAACAAGCTTTCATGTCCCCAAAAGCCCGCGGAGCCCCAAGCCCATGTCAAGCCATGCCGCGTTCATTCTGGCGCTGCAGTGGCTCGGATCAGTGCCTTCTTTAGCTGCGCCTTTCGTTAACAATGTTAACAAGAAGGCTTTTGCAGGCTGGGGCCAGGTTTCTGCTAGGCTAGCAACAGCCGCGGACCTTCCCGAGCGGACATAGTCGTCTGGGAGATTTTTTGGATTAAATCCGAGCCCTTTCTGGCTGCCTGCAATTTTTTGACACTGGAAGATTTGAGCCCGAACCTTCACCGGCTAGATTCAGGCTTTGCTGGTCGTCGGCGGAGGTCCCGAAGCGTTTCATCAGGCCCCGCTGGCCCTTTGGAGGGTTAGTCGGCTAGTTGAGCCCTATATAAGCCATCAACCCGAAGGGAACATGTGGAAAGATGCTGCTGAACTGACGCGGTTCCCTCCTTGGAAGAAGCAAGGCTTAGGAGAAGCTTTGCCGTCAAGTTTGCGACATGTTCGATCCTGGCGCAAACTGACATCTCTAAGCCCCCAGTCCTTGAAGAAACGCAGGCCGGCGCCCGACCCGAAGAAGCTGCGCTTCTATGAGTACCCGGACATCCAGGTGTTGGTGGGTTTGAGCTCCCAAGCTCTGAAGCCTCAAGCATTGAGAATCTTGAACCTTCCACCCCTTCACTCACTCACTCACTCACTCACTCACACCTTAAACCGCAAATCCAAGCATCGTTGGCAGAGGCAGCCGCGGACGTTCCGCAGCTTACACTTATGCTGGACCCTGAAGCTGAGAGTTACCAAGAGGCACTGGCTAGGGGCACGGATGTAGCTAGCTTCAGGGGTTTAGCTCCAGGTTAATGGGTGCAGGACAAGTGAAGTGGGACAACTTCCTGGAGTGGCTGGGAATTGAATGCCCTCCTTCGAGCATCGCTTTGCTGGGCTTGGTCAAAGCGTGAAGTAGTACAATCGCAGATGTTGTCCTAGGCAAGGTCCCAGCAGGGGCAGGATGTCCCCCAGGAAAGGTTTCAGGTGGGGTTTCAGGAAGGTTGTTGGAGCCGCCCAGAGGCGGAACCCCCCCACGGCATCGGTTTCAGAAGCCGAGGCGAATTAGGCCCAATTTCCTTACCCCGATGGCGTAGGCGCGCAGCACCATATCATGAAATCCACATCGTAGCTCTGGAGGCCTACAACGCCTCGCGGCAGGCACACGATGTGTGGATTTTTCAGGATTGGTGTGATGTGGCACGGTTGGAGCTCTGAGCCAAACTCAAGTTTGAAGATTTTGGAAGAATTGAGTTTGGAAATTGGCTGTTGCAGGATTTCAAGTCGTCAACTTGGACTTTGGAAGCCTTTTACGAAGGTGAAATAGAAGAACTAGAAACTTTCGACTTGTGGGGCAATACTTCGCACCCTTTGCTTTGTGGCCTTGCGTCCTGAGCCCTACCACTGAACCCTACACCTGAAACAGTCCGATCTTCTTTCATCGCATCTCTTCCTTCCTCTCCTCCCATCCCCTCCCAGTCCCCCACATTCCCCTCCCTTCTCTCTCTCTCTCTCTCTTTCTCTCTCTGTCTCTCTCTCTCTCTCTCTCTCTCTCTCTCTCTCTCTCTCTCTCCACCCACATCTTTGCAGACCGACAAAGTCCACACTGACCTCGTAAGTCTACAAGTCCTGCACGCGTCGAAAGGACCCCTTCTGTGCCTCTCTGGATGCTCCCTCTTGTCCCTCCACGAAACCTCGACCTCGCGAGCTGGTCAAACTAATGAGATGTACTCGTGGCCCGCCCCCCCCCCGCCCACACCGCATGCGATCTGAACTATGTTGGAACCTTTGCAGAAGAGGCCGCCGACCAAGCAATGCCATCAACAAGATCGTGAGTATTTTGAATTGTATCGTATTCGTACATTGGAGGCAGTCCCCAAGAATCCTGGACTTTCAGTCCCCTTGACAGCAGCCCCCGGCGCCTCCTAGACAACCCTAATGGGACATTCGGGCCTCTGAAGCCCAAATTGCTCTCCAACAGCACCGGAGGTGGCCGACGCATTGCGAGGAGAGCGTCTGGCGGTCGCCTCTCGGCAAAGCCTGCCAAACAGAGATGTTGATTTTTGGGGACCCCTTTGCGCAATTCCCGCTTGGTCTCGAAGCCCGGTTGGGAACATTCCCGAGCCCAGGTCGTCCTGGGCGCTGACATGCACAGCGCCCTCAAGTTCTTCAAGGTGACGCTTAGATCTGCAAGGATCTGCAAAGGATCTGCAAGGGCTGGGACTGGTCAAGTACCCAGAGAGCGAGGCCTCCAATGCTGTACCCTCAAACTTCACCCCGCGACCAGGAAAGTCAGCGACCTGCCCATGGTGTTGGCCCCAGTATCGGACGCCCATGCAGCACCCTGTAGCCCCCACAGAACGACAGAACGATGTGCTTCTCAGGGATCTCCCAGTGGAGCTGTTGAGATTTCCTTGGCGGCCCAACATACCCTTGAATCCTAAGCCTGGTCCTTCTGGCATCGCCTCCCAACGCAAGGTTTGCAGAAACACGATGTTTTGGCTGATTTTTGAGACATGTGATCACAGTTGTTGATGCTTGTGGTGAGCTTCGTTTCTTCTCCAAGTCTGCTACCGCTGGAGCTCAGGCGGTGGTCGTGAACTGGACACATGGGCTCGGCGAGCGTCCGTACCAGTTGTTCCTTCACTCACGAGGTGCGCCTCGCGGTCTGTCCAAATGTGCGCGGTAGTAGCGGTAGTAGTAATTGCAGTAGCACGAGTGCCCGTACTACTGGTAAAACTGCTGCCAACACTTCTACTACTACTACTACTACTACTACTACTACTCCTACTACTACTACTACTACTACTACTACTACTACTACTACTACTACTACTACTACTACTACTACTACAACTACAACTACAACTACAACTACAACTACAACTACAACTACAACTACTACAACAACAACAACAACAACAACAACAACTACTACTACTACTACTACTACTACTACTACTACTACTACTACAACTACAACTACAACTACAACTACAACTACAACTACAACTACAACTACAACTACAACTACAACTACAACAACAACAACAACAACAACAACTACTACTACTACTACTACTACTACTACTACACTACTACTACTACTACTACTACTACTACTACTACTACTACTACTACTACTACTACTACTACTACTACACTACTACACTACTACTACTACTACTACTACTACTACTACTACTACTACTACTACTACTACTACTACTACTACTACTACTACTACTACTACTACTAGCATTACGACGACGACGACGACGACGACGACGACGACGACGACGACGACGACGACGACGACGACGACGACGACGACGACGACGACGACGACGACGACGACGACGACGACGACGACGACGACGACGACTGCGACTAGCCAGGCCAGCCACCTTACAGACCCCTTTAAACCTCACAAGCCCTCGACACCCTGTGGGCCTTATGAACCCGGAGCCTTGTCAGCTGTGTCAGCCCTACCAGCGCTCCCCTTGCAGCTGCCACCGCTCCGCTGGACTCTGGGCCGCTCCTCACCTTCGCCCGATGCTTCCTGAGGGGCGGCTCGGAAGGAACCGAGGGTTTGGGGGGATGTTTTGGGGATGCTTTGGGGATGTTTTGGGGATGTGCGCATACAGGATGGTTCGATACAAAGGGGTTGAGGGAGGCCCTTGGGCTGAGGATGAGCACTAGATTCACAAGATACCTTAAGTTGAGGGCTGAAAGGCGATATTCCTTTAAACGCTGGATCGGTTGCGGATTTGGAGTTTTGAAAAGATTGGGCTCCTGTTGTCGTATTTTGTTTGGATCCCGGAAGGCGATTCCTTTTTGTTTTGCGTCGCTAGCCTTCGGGCCGAAAGATGTGTCTCGCAAATACGACCAAGTTGGCTTGAGCATGAGCAGCAAAAGAGAGCGCTCGATTCTCGAGACATTACTACTACGAGGGCTTCATGAAGGCCATGTACATTAGGTTGGCAGCCCCTGAAAAAGTCACCAGAATCGAGGAGACCAGCCTGCTCTGAGGCGAGGTGCTCCCTTGGCAGCGTTCGGCGCCTGTGGTTGCGGACCCTGGTGATCCCGGGTGTGCCTGGGGTTTAGGAGGAGGTCAAGAAAAAAAGGTTTTCCCAGCTCGGAGAAGCCCTGCGTATCCCTGGCCTAAGGCCGGCAATCCCCAAAGCCCCTGGGTGTTCAGAGCTTCAAAAGATGAGTTTGAGCCATCCCCACAAACATGCAACATTTAAGAGCCCTCAAATCCTGTTTTGTTAAGATTAGGCCGTGTGCAGCTTGGAAGCCCTAGGAGCTCAAGCGAACGCCAGATTCCAGACGTTTTCAGACCCCAACCCCCCCCCCCCCCCCAACATCCCCCCAATGGCCAGAGGACCCGCGGCAGCACGATGCGCAGGCGGGCGCTCTGGAGATTGTCGCCTCGCAGTTCGGTGAGTTTCTCGGACCCAAAAACGGCGGCCGGAGCAGTGCACGTGGGGTTTGCGGATGTCCGGGTGGTATTGGATCCTTTTTAGGGCAGCTGCCCCGTTTCGGTGGGCAGGTGTACGACTTGAGTTCAGCATCAAACCGGCACGCGCACGGAAAGTAGTTCTGAATGGGATTGGGGAGTGTCGGTTTGGAGTGGGTGCAGTTGAGGTGTGCTAGTATGTATGGTAGACGTATGTATAACTATGTATATGCATGTAAATAGTCGCCCTGACATGAACATGTCCTGAACACATCGGCAGCGCAGGAGGTGGCGGCAGGGTGTGTAGTGTATACACATATGTGTCTCCGTGTTGTGTCTATGTGTTTATGACATCACTCCTGCCTGAACAGTTTGGGGTTCGGCGAGCTGTTGGCGCTGTGCGGCCTCATGAGATTGATGGCTTGTTTGTGTTCCGGCACTTTTGGGGTTGTACTGTCTTTTTTTGCTATGAAGCTTGGCTGCTGCACAGCTGCAGGCTGGCCCTGGATGATGGCAAGGATGTCCTTGTCATGTTCTTCGCGCCCTGGTGCGGCCACCCAGCTAAGCTGAGAGCACATCCAACATTCTTGTTTTGAAAAACCAGCCCACACCCCAACCCCAAAAAGTCGTTTTTTGAAGCCCGAACCTCGAAGCCTCCGAGATCCCATAAAACATCTTGAGCCCTGGAATACCCTGAGCCGCCTTCAACCCTACAAGCCCGACGCTCCGCCACACTCGATACACTGACACACGACTGCACAGAGCCCCACAGTCCTTGTGGTATCCAGGGGGTTTTGGAAAGCTTATCTAAATCCCTGGACCAAGGCTTCTCCAAGCGCATGTCTCCACGAGTGGATGAGCTGGCGCGGCATTTCCGCCACGCGAAGCAGCTGTCGGTTATGAAGATCGACGACACGCAGAATGATGCCGCTTTGGACGCAGAGAGAGAGAGAGAGAGAGAGAGAGAGAGAGCGCTGCGATAGCAACAGGGGGACGGGGGGAGGGGGTGGGTATCGATATCAGCCCCCCGAGTTCCATCGTTCCACCGACTACCCCAAAGTGGGGGCGCGCGAACAGCGCGGGGGGCTTGCCCCTCATGCCCCAAAGAAAGAAAGAAAGAAGAAAGAGAGTGTGTGTGTGTGTGCGCTGCATTTGGCGGGTGTCTTCGCAAGATTGTAGTGAAAGACTGAAGCAGAGGCAGGTTGCTGCGAATGGAGCTTCCCAACATTTCAGCACCAGGCGCTCCCAAACTTGATCATGCTGTTTTACTCAGGTGGACCATCCCGTCCTCAAGCAGATGACGGGGTATCCTTTCTTGGCCTTCTTCCCGGCGGGAAGGAAGAATGACGCCGTTCCTGTTCGGGCGCGCGGGCGGATTTGGGCTCAACAGCTTTGTGCCAGTGCGAGGCTCTAGGTTTCGAGAGAGAGGTTCTGAGGGTCCGGGGCATGCTGGGAATCAAGGCTTTTGATTTGGTGTGTAGTGCCTGAAGCTCTGGCGCCGCATAGTGATGTTTCAGCACTTCGGTGGTCCTTCGTGTCTCTCCTTGCTGACACCGCAGGTGAATGCCCGCTTACTTGGCGACTCAGAAGCTTGGGTCCAGGACCCCATCCCTGACTGCCGCATACGTGTTGGTTTGCGCGTTCGGTGGTGACAAGCAGGATAAGCAGGGTCGGTCAACCTGCGTAAACCATGGAGTCGTAAACGCTAGACCTCAATACGCACAAGCATCTAAGAATCCAAGCTCATGGCCATGGCTTCTACTATAGTTTATAGTCACGAGGTCATGTAATACAAAAAAAATATATATAGAAATACATACCAAGGTCATCAACTTATGATTCAAGTACTTTTTGTGGTGAGAAACCAATCCATTCTTATTATGTGATTCAACAAAATAAAGGATGAGCCATGAAGTATACATACATAAATATAGTTGACAAATATGGGTAAAGTATATTTTTAAGACCGACATTGGAGCTCCATAGCACCCCACGCCGCTTCGGCCTCAAGTTTGGCGACTTGCCCTTAACTCATAGCAGTCATTCCCCCCCTTTTTTCACGTCTTAGGTGCCCCGAACTTTCACAATCCCTCAGGGCCCCTCCAGTGTCCCCTCAGCCCGAAACGAGGAGGCCTCTCAGCGCCTCAAAGCGCTGGCCACGGCGGAGCTGCCGGAGACCGCGCCGCCTGGGCCCGAGGGTTCAGGATGCGGGGGCTTAGGGTTTAGGGTTGAGGGTTTAGGGTTGAGGGCCCTTAAGGGTTAAGGGGGCGTGAGGCTGGAGAGGAGTTCTTGGGCTTAGGGCTGACTGGGCGGTGCTTTTCTCAAAGGCTGTAGAATTCTCGGGGTATGTTGGTAGAGATTGGGAGTTCGTTGATTCTTCAACACCCTTTCTGAGGGTAGCAGAGGCCTGGACCAACGCCCCAAAAACATTCCCAAACCTCAAAACCCCAACTCCGCACCCCTTCCGCATACCAAGAGGCCCTCGGAGGAGCTGGGCGCGGAGGGGTCTGGACTCCTCAGCGATGCAGAGGAGCGCCTGGAGGAGTTCTGAGCAAAAAGGGTGCGTGAGAGGTGGATGTTTGGGTCTTGGGGATGTTTGCGCGTGGAGACAGATGGGGTCGCCGTGAGACTTTAGCCATGGATTGGGTTGAGAGCAGGTCTCTTTCTTTTGCCCCCCCCCCCCTTCTGGCTGCTCTCATTTTCGAGTTGGAGGCCTTAAGAGTCCTTAAGTCGCCAAGCCTGAGCTCGGCCGCCACCGACTTTTTGCTCAAACATTACCACCAGCAATAGCCATACACAGTGGAGCGGTCCACTTTTACGGGAGGCCGGCCGCTTTGTTGCATTGTTGCTTGTGCACAGTTTTGCATACTGGCACATCTAGACCTCAGGGTTTATGAGCTTGAGGTGTAGGAAGTTTCGGGTTGCAAGGTTTGAGAGGTGTTTAAGAGGTTTTGGGAAAATTTCGGGGAGGTTTAAGGGCAAGATGTCCGAAGCGCTTAGAGAGGCTTACGCCCAAGCAGGGGGGGGGTCTCAGCATGTCTCGGCATCTGCAGCGAAGATGAGGGTGAATTGCCAGGTAGCCAGCTGCGGTCGGACCACGGAAGCGCAAAAGGCCGTTCATTTAGGGCTCAGGGTTTAGGGTTTAGGGATACGGAGTCTGTGGACTGAGATGCTGTGACAAAGACTGACCATGAGTCCCAGGATCCTTATTGCTGGCATATGCCCCTACGCTGACGTACCCCAAAGGCCCCAAAATCCGATCGAAACCACCTGCTGTTCTTCATTCTGTTTTCCAAAGGACAGGGCGTTCGGCGATGCCGGCCACGGCCTGGAAAGAGGTCGTCATCGATGGCAAGGTCGCGCTCAGGGTTGCCTTGAGAGAGCTGCCAGTCTGTGAGTCTCCTGAGGACTTGTTGCTCAGAGTTTTCTTCACTGTGTGGGTGGGAGACGGCAGCGGCCAAATAGCGTGGCATTGCTTTCTCGGGGTGTGGCTTGCTTCTTGTCTTCTGCTTCCTGATCCTCTGTTCTGCGATCCCAAACCAGGCTTTCTGGTGTTGTCGATTTGTGCGTTGCCTTTTGCCATCTGCCGGCTTGATATTTGTTGTGTTTGTCATGGCTAGGATAGGATGCGATTTGCGTCGGGCTTACACAGATCCTGCAGCTGACTGAGACACTCAACAGGCAGGAGCAGGATACACACGATGTGCATGATGTCAATGATGACGGTGGTGTTGATACAGTGGTAGACTACTGGCCTAGGAGGCATCACGATCGCTTTGCTCGCAGGTGAAGTTTAAGGTGCCAGCGCATCTTGAACTCATCAAGAAGGTGGCCGGACAGCTGAAATCTTCAACTCCTGAACCCGCAAGCCGCCCAAACTGCCCAAGCTGCCCAGCTGCCCAAGGGACCTGCGCTCGAAGTGTTTTTGACAGCTGTCTTGTCTAATCTGTTTTTTGTTGTGACTCACACTGTTCTTTGCTGTCGTAGGCAGCCTCCTTTGTGCTGTAAGAGAAAGCCACGAGACCTCTGAAATCTGCATGTGCTACAGATGCCGCAGAGATGCGATGCTGTGTAGATAGCAGAGACACCTACATTCATGCAAACTTCTAGAGTCTACAGGGTATGCATTCTCTCTGCACAACATTGACAATAGCAGATCCCAGACCTCCGAAGTGTCCACAGATGTGCACTATCAACGTTGAAGCAACAGCTCTGCCTTGTATGCACCAACACCATGAGCACTCAACGCCTTAGATGCAACAACATCTACACTGTATCTCGGCTCCAAAGTCAAAGGGGGATCTTTGCTGCCAGTTGGCCCGAAATGCCCCAGCCACAACCCAAAGCCCTGCACCCCTGCAAGGTGGGCTCAGGAGCTTACGGCACCGTCGCCTCCTTCCAGGACCCTAGAGTTGGGCCGAGGGTGTGTACACCATGTGGTGCTAAAGGGCGTGTGTGCGGAGTTGTTCCTGCTGAGGGCGCCTTGAGATGACATGGAAGTAGGAGGAAAGCTTTGATTTATTTTGATTTCCCTTGTGGGCATGGCGCGGCGCGCTTCGGTCAAAGCCGCAGCGATCTCGAAGGAAATCAGCTGTAGCAGAACTTGCTACAGCTGCTACGGTAACGCTGATAGTCACTGATAGCTGATAAATCCTTGAAGGCTCTGAGGTTGCCTGCCTCAATCGCTTTGAAAGCGGCGGGCCATACATCGCTTTCATGGATGGGGAAGCTCGTCGCATCGCCACCGCAATTGTGGGTCTGCTGGGTGCTTAGAAGGAGTTGACGTGGTGGTTTGCCTTCACCGTTGTTTGGTTATTGTTGTCCACAGTGTACAGTTGCTCATGGAGACTTGGTGATTTTGAAAGCTCCTGAACAAAGTCGAACTATGTTGAGCACTTGCATGGGTAGGGAATGCCTGGAATATGGTCGTGACCAGAATCGAGCGGCTACATCGGGAGCAGCTTGTGTGTGTGTGTGTGTGTGTGTGTCTAGGTTTTCATGTGCTGCTTGAAGTGGTTTTTGTGGTCCGACGAACGACGGATGTCACCAAAGAAACGTTGCAGTACATATGACTGACTACCCATTAGCCTTCCAGCCGGAACTTGAGGCGTTTCCGGGCATCCTGTCGCGGGGCCTTCCGGGGTAGTTCAAGGGATTTTTGGGTTCCCCGTGCGGGTGCCACGTAAAAAAAGGAAAAAGAAAGCAGTGCTTCTAACCTGCAAGCTTGGGCCTGGGGAAGAGATTTATGCTGTTGGCGCTGGGTGCCAGGATCCGAAAAGCGGTACAAAGCTGGCAGCCGGGGCCCCGAAGCAAATCCTGTAAACTAACAGTCGTAGCTCTTCTGTTTTGCGTACTCAGTTTAAATGGATTTTGCGGATATGGTGGGTTTAATCTTTGTCATTTTGGGCTTAAGCTTCAAGAGCTGAAGTGCGCGGAGGGGGGTTTACACCTCGTCCTTTGCAGAAGATTGAGGGTCATACTACGGCCACGAGTCTTTCTTGGCCGGGGGGGGATTACATGCCAAGTCAACATGAAGACCCTGACCCTTTGCCGGAGGTGAAGAAGATCACGGATGCCTTCCACGACCTAGTGGATGGTAAGCGCATCCTGCGAGAGGCCACACGAACCCGGAGTCCTGAACCTTACGGCCCGATGTGACGCATGGCTTTTCCTTCGGGGCCCTGCTGAAGAATCCCGCTCTGCATCTGAGCCCATTGCAGAGTCCGGTTCCAAGGACAACAGCCCCAAACCTGGAGTACCAAACCCTACTCGTATGCCGTATGATCTCCATCTAGTACACGGCAGGGTCACTAAAGCCCCCTAGTGTTTGATTTTGGCAGGTCAAGCTGCTGCGAAGTTTCAGGCATGACAATGCCGCACCCTCAGACTCACTTACTCTCTCCTATTGCTTTTTTTTTGGGGTGGGGGGTGTGGTGTGGGGGGCTGCGGGGACCTCACTTCAGAAGGCTCTTGCGAGGACTTGGCTTTGAGGATCCTTGGGCTTCCTTGGGGGGGCTTCGGGTGTTGGGAAAACTTGGCCGGTCCTGCACCTTTCAATCTTAGCCCCAGCCGCGCCCCAGCTGTCCTCAGATCATCAGCATCCTGGACATGTACCCGCCAGGACGGAGCTCAGTGCGATTCAGTTCGGCTGTCCTCCCTAACCTCAGCCGTCAAACAGACCTTCTGTTTCGAAGCAGTTTTTAAGGGGCGAGGCTGGGACGCGGGCCTATGCGGGCCTGTGTAAGAGCAATAAACAGTACGGTGCCCTCTCAAGTGCAGTCTGCTTTTGTGCAGAACATCCTGACTTCGATGACATCTACATTGCGCCTTGGCTCAACTCCTCCGCTCCGCTCTGACCCAAAAGTGTCCATGCACATGATATCATAGCTGGGCCGCACAATCAGGACGACAACCGTGCACCCCACACCCACATCTTGTCTGACCTGTCTGAGTCTTTCAAGGACAAAAATTTGTTGTGAAGCCCCAGAAACCTTCTAAACCCGGAAGCGCTGGAGGTAACGGACTTGATGGAGACAGATCTGCATCGGGTCATTTACTCAAAGCAGGCGGGCTGAGGTGAAAGAGTTGGTTTCTGGATCTTGGTTGTTTATTTGTCGAGCGCAATCGAAAGGTCTGCTTTAGGTGCCCAGCGCATTGGCAGAGTGCACCCAGAATGCTTTGCATCCAACGTGCAGCGTAGATCGTCCGATTGCCTTTGCGGTTGCAGGTTTTGAACGACGAGCACCACCAGTGCCCCCTGCAGAGGTTTGTGCTGCCATGGTTGGTCTCAGAGGGCCAGGAAGGTGTTCAAGGAATGATTAGCCTTCTGCCCGTGTCAGTCGTGTTCGAGATGAGCTCGTTTTGGCTTTCGAGCAAGGCGTACATGTTCGGACATCTAGGCCATTGCGGTTGCGGACGTTTTCAGGTACTTCTCCTACCAGATCCTTCGTGGATTGTTGTACCTCCACAGCGCAGGGCCCAGTCTTAGCCCAACGTCATCCTGACCCGAAGCCTCGAAACCACTAAATACTAATTCTTGAGACCCTAAACCGACACATTCAGAGAACGCGGAGTCCTTGCAAGTTGTCATCGGCCACCTTGTCAATCCCTTGAAGACCAGCCGAGCGAACTTCCGAACAGCCACCCCTACATGCTCTGAGGCGCGAACGTGGTGCACCGTGATCTCAAGCCTGCCAACATCCTGGTACAGCTTGCGTGCTTGGGGTGGCGGTCTGGCATGGGCTCCGAATGCTCGAGTATCCAGAGTTGGGCAGGAACCCCTGAAGTGGGGCGGCATGCGTCTGCCTAAGCACTGCGTGGAAGCCAGGTGAACAAGAACTGCGACCTCAAAATTTGCGATTTTGGTCTGGCTCGTGGACTCGGGAACGACGAGGCCAAGAAGCCGTTTTAAAGTTCTGTCGCGTTCGGGTCCCAATTGATTGCCTGATTGTTGTCCACCGCGATTTGGCCATAAGCAGCGCAGGGGAGCCAAAAACTTCACGGAACCGGGTTTTTGCATAGAGCGTGAGGGCTTTTGGTTTTCACGCTTTCAGGAAGAGCAGTGTGCCTTAGGTTGTGGTGACAGCTTCAGCAGCCACACTGTTTGAGTCAAACCTGAAACCCTGCTGGGGTCGTTGCTTGTCCGTCATCATTTCCGGTTGCTTGTACTGACTTGTGAGACCCCTTCATTACGCTTCTTTTTCTTTGTGTATGTGGCAATTGCCCAGGACCACCCCCATTCCCCAACATAAGTCCAGGGTGAGCCTGGCCAGGACGACCCAACCCTGACAGACTATGTGGTCACCAGGTGGTACAGAGCTCCGGAGGCTTCTGGCTGACAGTCCTAAATTCGTTCCTTTACGGGAGCCTTTAGGGGGAGTTTCTGTTGGTTTTCTGCTGCACCCCGGGTTGCACAGCGGAAGCAAAGAGCAGATTCGTCACAGTTTCACGTGGGATGAAGCGCAGGAAGACAATCTTTTCAAGCCGAGTTGGTAGCAGCAACTTAGGTCTCCTCCTTTGGCTTAGGCAAGCTGCACGCCAGGTGGTGTTGCTGGCATCGGAGTACACCAAGTCCATCGATGTGTGGTCGGTCGGGTATGCCCCCTGGGGTAGGGACTCTGTTCAAATGCTGCTTAGACTTGAGCTTCAAGTCTTGGTGTACCATAGGGCCTAAATTTAATGGGACTTAGGCCCTTAGGTTCGGGTTGGGCCGCGTCTCGGGGGGTGGGTTCGCAAGAAATGTTTGTGGATCCAAGGTGCATTCTTTGCGAGTTGATCGGCCGCAAGCCTATCTTCACTGGCAAGGCCAGTGAGTCGCGGTTGGGCTGTAGAAACCGCTGTCTTGGAGGAACACATTAAGGTCATACGTGCTGTGTTTTAGGAGGACTCACAAAAAGACTGTAGATTGAGTGAGGCTTGCTTGAAGGACTGAAGGCTTCTTCATGATCATTGGTGTTCTGAAGCTGTTACTTGGAGCTTCATTGCCTTCGCCGAAGCACGATCTCGCTAGAAGCTTCCTTGCTCGGGAGGACCACCTCGACCAAATCAAGAAGATCTTAGCAGTTGTGGGCACACCCTCGGAGGACACCATTGCTGTCCGTCCTGCGACATGACATCGGATCATCTTAGTGTTGCATGCTACATCCGTGCGGCAACCGCAGAGACGTCGCTGCGGCTTTCTTGAGAAGAAGGTTGGCAAACATGCGTCCCGACAAGACCGCAGGAAGACCTGGTCTGGCTGCCTCCTCGGAGCCCCGCCAGGAACTTCATCAAGAAGGTGCGGAGTGGTGTCTTAAGCCAAAGAGGAGAGGTTTCTGGATTAAAAGGAACTGGCAATCGCTAGCGATCTTACCTAGCCTTGAAGCCACTTAGTGGTGCTGGGAACATTCACTGAGCTGATTGAGCTCCAACAAAGCCATTAATGCTTGTAGCCAGGCGTGGAGACTCAACATTCCCCACCAGTGTGCACAAATCCTTGGCTAAGCCGTGGTGTCCAAGTCGAGCTCGCCTTCCAGGTCCCTCCCTGCACCAAGCAGAGCTGGAAATCGGTCTATCCCAAGGCGCTTTCTTGGGGGCCTCGGGCTACGGTCATAGCCTGATCCTCAACCGAGCCCTAAAGTGCAAGCATCGATCCGAGATGCACTTGTCGTTGAATTGCACTCACTGCTGGATTCCCCGCCTTGGGCGGCTGCAAGTCCTGGGCATCTTGGGTTTAGGGGGCTGTAGCAAGAATGGCCTATGTACCAGGCTGTCAGGTCCTTTTTCTTGAAGATGCAACTAGCACCCGCAAAGAGTGTAAAGACGGCTCCACCGTCTTGGCATGTCTTGACCCTGATCTGCTCTGATGGCGATACAGGGGATGCTCTTCGCACTTCACTGGGAACAGTGAACTTCCAGCCAACGAGAGGGACAACATCCGTCAGTTTCCTTCTTCCTCCTGAATAAGCTCACTCAGAATCACCCGAACATCGCCAGAATTCTTCGCAGCCGCGACCTCTAGTGAGCCTGCTTTCGCGGCCACGATCTTTGCAGGAGAGCATCTTGAAGTTCGCCCCTTTCGTCTCGCCAATGTCCAAAACCCTAATATCGGCTCCGCTATCAGTGCTTGTCAGTGCTTGTCAGTGCTTGTGCCAGGCGACAGATGCGGGCATCTTTGCAATTGAGCGGATGCCGGACACTCAGGGGACGGGGCCCAGAAGACCCATCGCAAACCAAGTTCCGCACGCTTTCAGACGTTAAAGTCTAAAGCAATTTGCAGTTAGGCCAGTTAGGCCGACATGGTGGAAATTTAGTTCAGAGGTTATTCTTGTGCTGTTGTCGATTCTGCTTCTTCTCGGCTTCATGGAAACCCGGCCTGAGTTTCTCGAAAGACGAGACCTTAAACTTCTTAAACGTTAAACCACCTCTCAAGGAGCCTCAAACATGCGGTTCCCAAAAGGCTGACTTTCAACCCGACCAAGAGGGCGACGATTCCAGAGTGCCTAGTGCTGCCGTGCCCCGGGTGTGGAAGCTCATGTAAGTTTGGGTGCTGCCAGGAATCTTCAAGGCGTCTGACATTTTTCTGGCTTTCCTAAGACTGGAGCCCCTGATACCGCCTACACCCCAAAACCCTTTTGCATCATTCTGTGACTCTTGGGTTTCGCTGCTTGCGCCCCGATCCTGGCACTTCACATGCCATGCGACAGCGGCCAGGTATTATGAAACGCTTCACATGCCTGACGACGAGCCAGTGGCCGAAAATCCGGTCGATTGGGGCTTCGACAAGTCCTGCTCCCAGATGTGCATCTGCCCTCAGCCCTCAAGAAAAAGCCGCCTCAGAGTAGATTTCATCTCCCAACTCGGGGCTGATACATCCAGCCATACTCTCCAACCGCTGCGGCAAAGCTGCGCAAAGGTTCACGCCAACAAAGAGGTTGCTGCAGAACTACATCTACGCCGAGCATCCCGGCCATATTCTCCTGGACCGCTGCAGACGATTTCGGGGCTTTCAGGGCTTTTCGTGTGGGGCGGTGATCTGAAGGTCATCTGATCTTTCTCTGCCAGGTGCTGGAAGTTTCACCCGGAGATCCAGCAGCGGGACGCCAAGGCACAGGGTACTTGTAGGATTTAGGAGCAACGTTGGGCTTGGAATGTAGGCTTGTCTTGAGGAGTTTGAGGGGGTGCTCTTGCAAGCCTTAGCTCCTGAACACTGGATTCCACACACAGGCTGCCAAGAACCCAATCCAGAAGCCAACCTCAAATTTCCGATGTGCTGATGCCAGCCGTGCTAAGCCCCGACTCGCCCGCAGTTGCTGGACGCGCGGGGCATCACGGAGCTGCTAAAGTAGCTGCCGCAGCCTCACTGTGAGCATCCTGAAACGTCTTGTTTTGTGGGTTCTTTCATTTTGCTACATCAAGCTTTAAGAGTTACACAGTTAAGGCATGTGAACGACTGTGTGCTGCTTTAGGGCCTTTGAGCGGGAGGACCCCCAAGACGCTTGGACCCTTAAACCCTTAGACCCTTCAACCCTTCAAAACCTCGAAACACTTGCGCGCCGCCTCGGAGCGGCCTGCAGATCAGAGCCCAAATTGTCAGAAGGTTTCTCTCCGAAGCTTTCAAGCCTCGAGCCTTGAGACCCTGACCACACCCCCACACGTCAAGCAAAAACAAGTTACGTAGGGGGTTCTTTTTCGGGGTGGAAAAAGAAATTCAATTCCACGAAATTAGGGCTGAGGGACCATGAGGTGAGGCCAAACGGGGCCTAACGGGGCCTAACGGGGCCCTGGAAGCTAAACGGGCTGTGGACTTTGGCCGCCGGGTGTCAAATAAAGGAGGTGGCTTGGTCCACACCAAATGTTTTCGGCCTGGGAAATCGGCGGATGGGGTGACGTCTCAAACCTGAAGTCCCGTGCTTTCATACCCCGAAGCCCCGAGGGTCTGGAGGAACGGTACGGCGCCCCCATCTGCAAGGTTTGGGAATGGTAGGCGTGTGCAAATCGTGTGCAATGAGCGCCAGCGATTTAGCGCATCTACCGCAATCAGACCCTGGCTGTAGCATGGTATGAGACGAAGGACGGAAGGGTTGGGACAGTCACAAGGTCTAATGTGGTCAGGGATTCTAGAACGGTCAATGAGAACCAACGTAAACCCCAGTTCTACTTTGAGGTGTGCTTCCACCGGTGACACCTGGCCGCCGATGAGCGCATTGAGTGAAACGCTGGCAGCTCTGAAGTTTCGGGAGCTTAGGTGTAGGTTTTACTGCTACGAGGAGTGCCGCAGACGGAAGTAGGGCTCAGTCTTTCCACACGTGGACTGCCTTTCTTTGGTGATAACAGCAGTTGTGTCCTCATTGCATTCGAGGTGTCAGCGGGTTTGTTTTGACAGCAGAGGACAGCAGAGGCACTCCTACGGGCAGTTCGAAGCTTCCTACATCTGAGACCTCTCGAACCTCAAACATGCGAATTTGAAGATCACGAGCCCCTAAACCTCGGCACTCCCTCACAACAAAATGCCGGCCCATCCGATCCGAACAACCATGAACAACCCAACATTCAGGAGCAGGTTCAAGGCCATGAGAGTGTTTTGCAGTTGCTTTATCACCGAGGAGTCCCAAACACCATTTTAGGCTGAGGGTGACGTGAAGCTTTAGACACCTGGGCCTCGGTTTTTTTTGGGACTCCATGCCGTGGCTCTTCTCGACTTGTCGGCACGCTGCGGAACTGTCGTTTCACCACCCGCAGCGAGGCTAAGCCAGTGACAGGACGAAGCGACCCCATGGATTGGATTTTCGCTGACAGAAATTGAGAAAGGTTGAGAAAGCGCGTTGAGTCCCACATGGCTTGATAAGGCGTAGGGTGGCCTGGCGGACGCTGACAGAGGATTCTTGCAGAGGTCGGTGTAGGTGGTGAATGCTGCTTTTGGAGCTCGTCTCCACTTGTCTGCCTTTGCCTGTGGGTGGATAGTGAATGCCGCGGTTTCGGAACTGGTGTCACTTTTGCTTTTCGGTGGTCACGGGTGGTCCGTTTTTTTTCGGCCCGTTTTGGATCTGTTAAGTCCCAGAGGGGTGGTCAAACTTTGATGGGCCTATCGGGGGTCACGGATGAACCAAGTTTGGTGCTCACGGATGATCCTGGATCCAGTACACAATACCGAAGTCGCACAGCTTTGGAATATAGTGCGCCTTCAAACCCCATCTAAATGCCCTCGTACAATGATGGCTGCAACTTGCTTGTACCCTAAACCCTAAACCCTGAACCCCGCTATGGTTCATGTCAAGATCAGCCAAGCTGAGCTTCTCAAGCAGTGCACCGTTTTTCTCGATTTACTCTGCAGACAGATCAGGAGCCCTCATAGCTCCTGAAACCTTCCCAAAACAAGTAAAGCATGCCCTCGCAAAAATCGACACCCTCTAAACTGCCTAGATGCCCCCTTTAACCGCTAGATCCCCGCCCTGGCAAACCATAAATTCCCCACATAAACCCTGTTGTGACCGTGGCCATGGCAGTCTGCACTCCCAGCAGGCTTCGGTTCCTCCTCAGACCCACGACCAGTTTGGCTGGGGGTTTCGAGCTTTCGGGGGCGTTGAGGGGGTTTGCAGGTCGTAGCAAGCGCGCAACCCCAAAAAACTTCTTAGAATGAAATGTAGAGTGGCTGCTCTACTGAGTGGCAACACACACACACAAACACACCCTTCTATACAGGTATTCCCCATCGACGGGTGAGAACCGGGACGAGTTTTGGGCATAGCAAGAGGGGAGCATCCTGTAGTGGACCGGCATGCAGCTGCAGCGTGGGTTGTTGACCACATTGGGAAGTGCAGGAGGTGACAGCATGTGACAGCTTTTCTGAGGCATGTAGGCGGGTCAAGTTTCTGAAGCTGCCACGTGCTTCCTGGGCATTAGCTACGTCCTTGTGAAGGCGCGCGACCTGAGTGTCAGATTCCATGCCACTTTGCCCGTCATTTGAGAAGGGCTTGCTCGCATCAGCACTGTGCTTGTCTTTAGACATTTCTTGCCTGTCAGCACAAATAGTCAATGTACAGAACTGGTAATGCGGAACATGCTGCGTCGTTCCTTTGCCTGTGTCTATGCTGTGGTGGTGCTCGTGGAGCTTAAAGACGCTTTCGTTGGGATGAAGCATGGCAAACGCTTCAAGCTGCAAAACCCAAAAGCCCCAACGCTGCTTACAGTGACGACGGCGCAAACTTTGCTTAACGCGACGGGCTATATGATGAGAACGTTACACGCGTTGCCTTGGCCCTTGCAGACAAGGAGAAGGAGAATGAGATTCGAGAAGCTTTGGAGGAGGCTGCTCCCAAATACAGATTGCTGCAGCTCAAGTACTTGTCAGTAAGTTCAAGGTTTTGGTTGGAGGCTTTGCTCAAAGATGTGTGGGCCTTTTTTCAAGCAACGCGTCTGACTGCCCCGCTTTCCAAGACAAACAGCGGCATGAACAAGTATTTGCAGAACAACTCGAGTGTGTGGCGAGCTTTTCTTTCCTGGGCAAACATGTCACTGGAGCCCCCTCTCAATGAGTCGTTTCCAGCAGTGTCCAGGTCTTTATTGTATGGTAGGCTGAGTGACCAAGTGCACGAGCCACCAGGCTTGGTTGTGCTTCGCTTGTGGAATGATACTGAATACATGCTTCGCGAGCTGGGCGCTCACAATAGTCGGAAGTTGCGCATGAGAGCTGAGCCACTAGAGCTGAGCCGAGCGTTGGCTGACTTGATGAAGCCAGACAGGCGTCCGTGAGCGTTGCGGGATTGCCAAAGAGCATCAAAGAGCCTTTCTGTGCAGATGAACCTGCCGACGGCAACAGGCAGCTGTTGGAAGGAAAGTGGGCGCTGCAATTCTTGATAGGTGTTTAATGGGTAGTTTCACTCTTCCAGCAGAGATTGGAAGGAAAACGGCGCCTCTTTGCTCATATACAAACCAGAGTTCTAGCAAGCAGAAAGGATATGCTAGTGGAAGTACCTAAACCTGTCAGGCCAGTTCTTGTTGGTGGATTCTCCGCAGTGCCAGGTGAGCGACATCTTCTTAGAGAGTCGGCCTATATTTAAGTTCCTAGTTCCCTGTTACCCGAATCTCTCTAGGCTTTCATGCTCGCGTGGTATGGTCCCTTACCTTCTTTAAATTTTTCTGAGGTATGGGCCCTTGTGCTTTATGAGCAGCTGCCCACTTGGGGTTTCGAGCGGGTTTCGGGGGTTGAGGGTTTTACCCTCACCTGAACCCCGAAACCTAAACCATCATCGGATTCTGCTCTCTGCCATTCACTGCCTAATCCATCCTGAGATCTCCTGAGCGCCCAGTAGCCTAGCAGCATTAGTAGCGGTGCTTGTCCGATCGGGTCATTTCCGCAGCGCTTCATCTTCGCCCGGCAGCTCCGGCTGTTCAAATATGGCGACTGCGACTCGTAGACCCCGCCTTTGAGCACAACGCGACGATGCAGGCCCCGAGGCTATGCTCGGCGTTTAAGTGACCTGCATTGTGAGCCGGGCATGAGAGCCTTTGCTTTGTGCAAGGTTGGGGGGCGATCGCCGAGTTGCCGAGAATCGTTGGGGGGTCGGAAATGGTGATCTACTGAGCCTCAATCGACCATTGCATATGGTGTCCTGCCATGTCCTGCCTGCACCAAACTGCCCGAAGGCGCATCCCTTCCACCTCATCCCCATTGCGCCATTGAGCATTGTTTGCAAGCTCCTTGACATCCCTCACGATCTATGCCTCTGTGCGACAAGCGCCAACGTTCTGCCAGCTCTTGGAACTTTGTGGTTCGCTTCACCTCGCACAGGCGCCTCTGGTGGCGTCGTTTCCCGACTTCGCAGCCCCAAGCCCGAGATCGCTGAGATCCATGAGCCTGGTTCAGCACGCTTCAGCAGATCTTGACATCACGCGTGCGCGCCCAAGCTCTGGGGGCTCCCAGGCTGTTGCTTCAGGGCCTGAAGCTCCTCTTCCCGCGCCGCTTCCGCGTTGCCTTGCCTGACGCCTGGACCATGCCTGTCAGCTTTGCCACGTGCGCGCCGCACCTGCCATGGCATTTGTAGCAGATGCTGATGGTCCTGCCTTCACTCTTCTTTCCCAGCCGTGCTGTTGGCACTTTGCTGCGCCTTCATTCCTGACAGTGGCGGCTCCGCCGCCTTATCACCTTGCCCAGCGCCTTGTCTCCACACATTTAACTCCTCCCTCGCGCACGCCAGGTTTGCAGCAGCTTCGCTCCGCCGCGCTCGGTGCAGAGCTTGACATGCGCCTACATGGGCGCTTCGTCCCAAGCCCAGCCGCTGTTCCTGGCCCTCATCCCTGAATTCAGCTCTTAGTGGTGCTCTGAAGTACTGCCACACTTCCGCTCTACGATTGAGGATGCACCGAAGCCTAAGCGGAAGAGCTTGCGAGGGGTTGTCCCTTACACAGCTCTCCGAATTGCGAATTACAACAGCAACATCAGTTAATGGTTTGGTGGCTTTTGATCTGCAGAACGATATGGGACACGCAGAAGACGATAACCCCATCATGATGGAAAAAATATATGCGATGTAGGGACTTAGTATGAAATTCGCGGAAGAGCGTTTTCCTGCAGAGCCATATGGGACACGCAGAAAACGATAACCCCAACATCCATGTCCTTCAGCCTAGCAAGGCCTAGAAGTAGCCCTAACCTCACCGAAGGCAAGGCCTAGGGGCAGACCTACCTAGAGGTGGCCTAGGGGTAGGCCTACCCCCCACATCAACCCTAGGCCCTTTCGTAGGGTAGGGGTAGGCCTACCCTAGGCCTACCCCTACCCTGATGAAGGGCCTAGCCCAGTAATATTGACCGCTGCTCATGTGCTTCTCAAAGCCAACCCTCTGGGCAACAAAACGCCTGGGAGGCAAAACAGGCTCTCGAGAGAAGTGGCTACGGACTTGAAAGAGTGGGCATTCGCAAAGCTGTGCATGCTGAGCGCGGAGGGAACGGCCGGACGTACTGCAAATGGTGGAGGTCAAGGGAGTATCGAGCATGTAAGGCATAATCACCTTCATAGCAGCAAGGAGGCCACGATGTGTAAGCAACATAGGAGTTCCAGACCATACCTGGCAGTGGCCATTCTGTCCGAATTAGAATCCCATTGCCAGGGCAGCGTGCGCCGCAAAGAGGCAGGCGCTATGCCGCTAGCTGAGGTCCCCCAGTTCGCGGCCCAGCACGACAGGGGTCGCTGGGGACTTGAACTTTTCACGCGCAGGTGGAAAACAGGCGCGAAAGGAATTGTCCGCGGCAGTGGAAGCTACGTGGCGGGACCATCGCGTCATGGGCGCTCGTTTCGCCGAGCTGACTGCGGCCCTCCAAAGGTGCCAGACGCACGGAGCGGCCGCTGCCGATGAACAGGCAGCGACCGCCGTAGAGGCTCTCTCTGACACCCCATTGCCCCTATCAGGAGCGATTTTGCTTTGTATGACCCCGGAGGGGTATCTGCCTGTGGCAACCCAGTCCGTGCTCCTCCAAGCATACGGAGGGGCCGTGACGGCCGCCGCTGCGCAAACGTTGGCGGACGATGCGCGACGCGCGCTTGCCGGCACCAGACACCAGCATTCCACAACGCCATCGCGGTCCGACGACGGGGGCTTCGCTGGCAGACCCCGGGAGCGAGGTTGAGCATGCAGACGCGGTGTCGGGGGCCGCCCGGTCGCCGGTACAGGTGTGCCCGCCACCAGCCATTGCCGCGGAAGATGCCTGGTGCGCTCTATTGCGCTCTCGACCAGGTCGACCTGGCCGACGAATTGCGTCACCCGGTGCCAACGCTGTAGGACGTGCGCCCCTTTCATGCGGGCCGCGGTGCGAGGGGCGTTCGTGCAGGCCTTGAAATGGCAGCGTACTGATGCCAGAGGCGCAGACAGCTCCAGAGCATGGAAGCTGTTCGTACTCGTGCCGCGGATGCTCTTAACGCGCCCAACGCACCAAGGCTTTCAGGGCAGGGCCGAGTTGCTGGCCAGGGCCACAGCGTTCCAGCGAGGGGCGTGGGTTCAACTGTTCCGGGCTGCGCGACACCAGTGCGCTCCTGTTCGGGACGAGCAGAGGATGAGCCCCACTAGGCGTGCGCCAAAAAAGGGCGAGGTCTCTCGGGCACGTCAGGTGCTGAGTGCGGCTGCGTTGGCGCCGGGCAATGATCTCACTGACCCTGCCGGCTCCCCTGCGGCTTACTGGGCAGCCTGGGTCACTGAAAATTACTACATCATCTGCGTATAAAAGAAGTTTGACCACGACATTTTGACCAGAGGAACCGCAAGATACCCCGTTGCACATGCCAGAGCTCATGCGAAATACCAGCTCTGTGCAAACGCAACATGGCTGCATCACGCCATGCAACATCGAAAGCTTTGCGTATGAGAAAAAATGCACAGTATGTTGGCACACAACTACTAAAGGGTTGGGAAAAAGGTTGGGTGACACTTTGCTGACGTTATGATGAAACCGGCGGCGCACCCAGCGAGCAGCAACACGAGGGTTAACAACTTTCATACGCTCAACCCGACTCAGCCATGTTGACCAATATGTGGATTTGGCATGCCGAACGACATGATGATTGCATCGGTGGCGCGGTCGTGCGTAAATCCGCGCAGATACGCGAAGACACGCGAAGACGAGCGAAGACGAGCGAAGACGAGCGAAGACGAGCGAAGACGAGCGAAGGCAAGCGAAGGCGAGCGAAGGCGAGTGAAGGCGAGCGAAGACGAGCGGCGTCGCTCGGCCTCGCTCGGCGTCGCGCGGCGTCGCTCGGCGTCGCTCGTCGCGTCGCTCGGCGTTCGGCGTCGCTCGGCGTCGCTCGGCGCTCGGCGTCGCTCGGCGTCGCTCGGCGCTCGGCGTCGCTCGGCGCTCGGCATCGCTCAGCGCTCGGCGCTTCCTGGCGCTCGACGGGTGTGTTTCAAGCGAAGACACGCGAAGACGAGCGACCACTCGAAGCCGATCAAAGACACCCAAAAACACACCGCTTTATTTGCTTTAGTACCTTTGACTTCCTCGGCATATCTCGGTGTCACTTATTTTCGCTCGGCGTCGTGTTGCGTCACTCCGCGTCGCGCTGTGAGCTCTTCTGCTAGAATAGGCTTGCGATGGCTTGGGGATTATCTGAGCGACCACTTTTATTACGTTGTAGGAGGTTTTTTGTGGTGGAGATAAAATCCACGTTCGTGCCTAAAACCTCGTAAAGCGATAGGCCCCCCCCAAAAGCGATACCCTCAATCTTGAATCTAGAAGTCGTTCTGCAACAATGTCATGATTTCGTGGTTGGGTCTGATTCCAGAGCGATAGATACTCAAAGCGATACCCCTACGATACCCATATGGCCACCCGAAGAGCTGGGTAAAAGCCCTGGCCCACGTTGAGGGCTCGAAGTTTAGGATTTGGATTTCTGATTCGAGCAGCGAAAGCTCTAGAAAAGAAGCACTCTCACTCTTTAGTCTATATAGGTCCTAAAGAAAGGAAACGGGTTTAGGAACTCAGGTGTATTTAGGGGAGGGTTCCAGGTTTAGGATCTCATAAGCAGTAAAGCGATAGGTTTTCGCAGTAGCATTGAGCCAAAGTCCCAGAAAGCGATAAGGCCCCCCCAAAAACGATACCCCACGAACTTTAAATTAGCTAGTATTTACATGAGATTTTTTGCGGCTGCTCATATAGGTTTCGGGCCTTCAAAATCCATCCCACAGGACCGCTACTTCTTGCGGAGGGGGGGCGGGGGGGGGTTGAGGACTTCATGTTTCTTATAGCAAAGCACCAATTATGAGTTACTCTGGGTCTAGAGGGTTAGCCCCTATACCCTAACCCTTAACCCTAAATTTACACTCTTCACCCTAAACCCTACACCCAGCGAGTGGCCCGACTGAGTCAGCTATACGCGGGCGGCAAAAGAACCCTAAACCCTACAAGGTCCCTTGGCTTCACTCGGCGTCGCTCGTCTTCACTCGGCGCTCGGCGTCGCTCGTCTCGCTCGTCTCGCTCGGCGTCGCTCGGCGTCGCTCGGCGCTCGGCGTCGCTCGGCGTCGCTCGGCGTCGCTCGGCGTCGCTCGGCGCTCGCCGGCCTCGTCTCGCGTCGCTCGGCGCTCGGCGTCGCTCGGCCTCGCTCGGCGTCGCTCGGCGTCGCTCGGCGTCGCTCGGCGTCGCTCGCGCTCGGCGCGTCGCTCGGCGTCGCTCGGCGTCGCTCGGCGTCGCTCGGCGTCGCTCGGCGTCGCTCGGCTCGCTCGGCCTCGCTCGGCGTCGCTCGGCGGGAGCGTTTTTACGACCATACTGCCGCCACGCTCGACATGATGAAAATGGTTGCGACTCATACGAAAGGTTGCTTCTGTAGCATCACAGCGATCTCGATTTCTCGCACGCCACGCAGCCTTGCGTCGAAAAAATGCAGCAAAACAAGCGTCTGTCCACCATGATGGCTGTTTTTTGAGTTTGGTCTGGCACGGCGGTACAAAGAAGGATCTGCGTTCCAAGCAATGTCCAAAAAAATTGTTGTAAAGTTCATCTAAAATAGCTCTGCTTTCAACCCGAGTGGTCCCGGGGGGGTTGGCCAGTTGTGTATGCACTCTCGTGGCCTAAGCTTCAATGCGATCACACTGCGAGCGAATCAATTGACCCCACTCCCTCACATGACGGGTGGAAGCGCAATCGTCGCCGGATGTTGCAGGGCGCGATTTTTTGAGCTTAATAGTGACAGCGAAGTGGTCACTCCCGAGCATGGGCCAACACCAATATCGATTCGGACATGAGCAATGATAATTGTTGTGGACCTGGACATCTTGCACAAGCCCCGGCGTTGCAAAGACCAAATCAAGCCCGCCGGTGGGGGTGCGAGCGCTGGTCATGGGCGACGTCTTCCGCCGCCACGTGGCTCGGACGCGCTGGCACAGCAGTTTGGGGAAGCGTTCCGAACAGCATGCGCACCGTTCCAGTACGCGCTGCGCACTCGCGCAGGCTCTGAGGCCATCGTCCGCGCACTGCAAGGAGCGACCGAAGCTGACCCGCGGACGGCAGTGCTGAGCATCGACGGCGTTGGGGCCTACGACCACATCTCTCGGGCGAGCATGCTCGGGGCGCTTCGGGCGCACGCGCCCCTTACCGGCTTGCTGCCGTTCGCTTCCCTGTTCTACGGGCAAGCCAGCCGCTACATTTACTACGATGAGGAGGGCGTGGGGCACGAAGCGCTGGCGACCTTGGAGGCTTCAAACATCTTGACGCCATCAGACTGACTGGTCTAGAAATGACTGTGAAGTGTTGCGACAATGACTTTCAGTACGGCCTCACTTTGCCAGTGTGGTGAGCGCATCGGGCTGATGGGGGTCACTCCCAACTTTGCGAGCTGCGCGGGCTTCTTTGTCGCGCCTAGCAAATGTCCAGGTGCACCTTGAACGCGGCTGGGGAGGAGCCACCTCATTGCGGCGCTACCCCCGACGGAAGGCGATCCGCCCTGCTGGACGGGAAGCTGGACAAAACCCGCGGAACAGGGCCTGCTCGTTCTGGGATGCCCGATAGGCAGCCGGTCGTTGCCGCCGTGCTGGCAGCGAAGCGAGCTGCTCGCGCGTTTGCCCGCGCTCCAGGACTTGAAAAGCGCATGGTTACTGCTGCTGCTGTGTGCGGCACCGCGCTGCAACTACCTGTTGCGCACCGTGCCGCCGAGCCTCACGGACGACTTCGCCACAGCCCATGATGCAGCTGTCTCACGCTGTATCGCTATTTTGCTAGCGGGAGGCGACGAGCCATTTGCCCAGCTGCCCCTGCGCATGGGGGGCCTGGGCTTGACTTTTGCGAGGGAGCATCGTCATGCTGCTTACTGGGCATCCTGGGCTGACACGATCGGCGCCTTGCGGGAGTGCCACCAGCAGCCACCTTCCTCCGCCTGCTTGCGCGCCACCGGGCTGCGACTGTCCTGTCGCACTGCGACCCGCGGCCATTTTGGCTCAAATCGAGGGTTGCTGGGGGGAACGAGGTTGCTCCTGGGCACTGCAGTGCAGCTGGGGGATCTCTTGCCGCCCTTGGGCCTTGGGGGCAAGTTAGAGCGGAGGGTTTCCTATGCCGCCGCATGCAACGTGTGGAGGCCACGCTCGGCGCAAGCTCCTTCGTGGCGGTCCTTGATCGCGACCTCCTCCTCATCAAGGTCGCCGACTTCGTTGCGGCCGGGGGGAGCCTCGCCGGCGAGAGGGCTCCCCAGGAACCACCCAGTGCGGCACCGTCCGACCTGCCCCGGCCGCCCACCCCCCCGCCGCCGCCTGCGAGCCGCCGGGCGAACGCATCCTCTCGTACCCCTGCAGCTTCTGTAGCTGCGGCAGCTGCTGCTGCCACTGCGGTTGGTTCCGCCAGACCCGCGCGGCCCGGTGCACGCACCGCCCAACTGATGGGTGCGCAGGCAAAAGGAAATCCCAAGCCCACTCGCCGAGGGGGCAAGCGCTGGAACCGGCCTGCGAAGCGCAAGGCTTGAGGAGGCGCCACTTCGGCTTGCGCTCGGCCGCTGCCTTTCCCGAAGGCTTGCGGCGCGCTGCCGATTGCCCTGTTTTGACCCCGTTTGACCCCTGCATTAAGCGAAGCAGCCTTTCCCTTTTTTATATACAATTTAATCTGTGCTGTCCCGTCGTGTGACGTGCGGTCACGTACTGCGCTGAGGTTGGGCTGCCCGCCAAGCTTGAGGCGCTGCTTCGGCGTGCGCTCGGCCGCTGCCTCCCTATAGGCTTGCGGCGCGCTGCCGATTTTTTGCCTCGACCCCTGCGTTCGTCAAAGCCACCTAAGCAACCTTTTTCTGTTGTAATTTCATACCCCGCCGTGCATTCACTTACTGTGCTGAGGTTGGGCCTGCGGCGCGCCGCTGCCCGTCTCCCCAGCCCCGGTCTTGTCTGTGCCGCTTTCGAGCTGGCTGTGCGACCTCGTCGCTGCCTGGCACCTAAGGCAAGTCGCTATCCATTCATTTTTTTTTTTTTTTTCTCCGCACCTTTTTCAACCCGCATCGTCATGTCCGTCGGCCTTGTTCACGGCCTCTCCAGGAGCAGGTCCCCCAAGGGGACCTCCGCCCCATCACCTGCATCCCGTGGGTGGACTGGCAGCTCGAGGAGAGTCTGCGCGTGGGCCCGCATGGCTGCGAGCGCTGCCAGGGCCGTCCAACGACGCGTCAAGGCCCGAGCAGTGGCGACCTGCGCCAAGGGGCCCGCGTTCGGCCGCGGACCCGCGCGAGGCGGCGGAGGAACGCAAGCGTGCTCGTGCTGAAGCGGCCCCCTACCTCAAGGCCGAAGACGACGAGGCGACATCGGCCCCGCCCCCTCCAGCTGCAGTTCAGGGTACGTGCGTTGCTTACGCCGGGCAGCCTGTTCCAGCGCGAGCCCTGGCCGCGCGTCTGCGCCGGGCCTCGCCTGCCTGTCGCGTCGGACAGGGCTGACCAACGTGGTGTCCACCGCAATCTGCGCCCCCTGCCACAGAGGCAGGCCGTTGGCCACCACCTCGATCCTCCGGCCATCCGTCGCCGGCGCGTCGAGGTTGAGGTCCCGAAGGGCGACGCTGGTGGCCACCCGTGCTCCGGCCTCACGGCAAATGCGCGCCGCAACCCGTTCAAGGGGCCCCGCTCTCTGCGCGAGCACCCCGACCTGAGCACACGCAGATCTGTGGTCCCCGAGTTCATCAAGGGCCCCCCCGCAGCGGCAGCGGCGAGGGGCGAGTGGCAACGCCAGGCGCAACCGCCTCAGGAGAAAAAGTCGGAACTCCCCATTGTCGACCACGAAGTCTGGGCCGCTCGGGACGACGGTGAACGCGCAGCTCGCACCTTCGCCGCTCTGGGACAGCAGCAGCGCTCGGGATGCAGGATCCAAGTCAGAGAAAAGCATCTCGAACGCGCGCTTGTCCACAGCAGCTCCGGCTCCTTGCTGCCAGCCCCGCCTCGTTGGGGCAGGGGGCCCGTCGTCGTCTCCGAGGTTTGGAGGGGCCATTTCCTCCAACAGCGCTGCCCACGTGGGCGCCTCGTACCCTTGCAGGCGCAGGGTTTGCGCAGCCTGGTCGGCCTCCCTGACACTGGGGGGCACACCGGTTGCCGCAACACTCAACAGGGGCCGCATTAGTGTGGCCAATGTGCCTGGATGGCACGCTTGCAGCGCGGTGACCGTGTCTGCCCATGAGGCCCAATATGCTGCATGCCTGTGCTCCCTGGCAGGCGACAAGCCCAAGCCCCCCATGCGAAGCGGCAAGCGAGCACGCCTCGCACTATTGGGAGGGAGCTCCAACGGCACATCCCCCCCAGACAACAAGGTCGCCAGGCAGCGCAGGATGGCCTCATCGTGCGACGCCGCGTACGCCTCCGTTGCGCTCGGCGGCACCGTGCGCAGCAAATAGTTGCACCGTGGCGCCGCACAGAACAACAGCAGAAGCCACGCGCTCTGGAGGTCCTGCACTGCCGGCAGCCGCGCGAGAAGGACGTCGTGCTGGCCTCGCTTGTCTTCTAGAAAGCGCGCGACGTACTCTCTACTACCTATGGGAGTCCCTGCAGCCGTGACGCGTAGACACGTAGACACGTAGTGGACCACGTCGGGACGTCGATCTTGCGGTAAAAGAACAGTTGCGGATAGATCTTTGTGAAAAGGAAAAACATAGGAGCAAGGGATATGCAATAGAGGCGTATGGGAACGCCGCTGGAAAATTGTTTAAGGTTGCAGCAGGCCATACTCGAATGCTCCATTGTATGGGTGCGTCTCAACAGCCATTTCGGCGAGAGGATCGGAACAAATGGATGAAGTACACAACATCGCAGCCAACACTTGATGAAACAGTTGCGAAGAGGTTTGCTGGCACTGTGGCTAGTGCTGCTAAAGACCTCGAGTTCTTCCAATCCAATATCTTGATTTCTTGCGTCGGTGCCATGTCATCCCTTGGTGTACCTTTCTCTACAAGACCTGCGCAGGCAGTCCGGGACAGCTCCAGTGGCTTTGGCGGATGTGTGATCACAGCAACTTCGCTGTCCCGGACAAAGACGCTGGTGAGAAGAATGCCACCACCGCGTTTGGGGAGTGGCTTCTCACTATCATTCGTAGTTCTCGTCGTGCGATCTGGGCAACTGAGGTGGAAACGTTTGCAACGGCGTGGCAGCACGACAAGGCAAGCTGTACAGGAGTCTGAAGAGCAACTAGATGGAGTTTCCAAAGCATTGCGTGAGGCTTTGATGAAGTTTAGGGCCGAGGTCTCCAAGCCAGATGCTGAGATTGATTTGACTTGGGCAGCCGCATTGTTGGCCATGCACGCAAACCCAGAGATGGATCCGGAGAAAGTCGTTTTGCAGCCCTTGGCACAACTCAGCAGGGAGTTTCGTGAACGGCTCGATGAGTGCGAAGGTGATGTGGAAGAAGACGGCGGAGCTGCTGGGTTACCTGAGCAGATCCAGCTACAGATGCGAGCTGCTGGGCTCTGTGCTTTCATGGCGGAGCAAGGCTTCAAAGGCTGCCCAAGGACAGAAGAAGGATATTACAATGCCGAAAACTCTCGGATTGAAAGAGTTCTTCAACGACGATGCGGGATCCCTATAACCCTATCCCTGGTTTACATGAACGTGGGCCGTTCTTGCGGCTTGCAGTTGCAAGGTATGAATTTTCCTGGGCACTTCCTTCTGGGATTCGGAAAGGGTCACAGCGCGGGCTTGTTGGATGCCTTTGAGAATCGGACTTACACCGAGAGCGAGGCTGAGACGTATCTTTCGCAGCTGTATGGCCAGCAAATCAAGCTCAGTTCCAGTTGGATGGAAATGCCACGACTGCCCAACAAGATGTTCTTACTCCGAATGATCTCAAATCTCAAAGGAGTGTATGAACGTGGTGAAAATGTGGCACAGGCTGCGCGAATAGTGCAGTATGCCAATTGTTTGTACGATGATTGAGGCCTGGACCATGAAAATTTTTTGGTTGTTGAGGATTTCTGGGTTTTTCTCCTGCCCTGCTGCACCGTTGCAGGCTGTGTGCGGGCAAGCTTTCAGGCACTTTTTATTACTATTTACCTACAAACGGAAGGTGGTAGCGCAGTGTGAGGGTAAACTATCATGGTACGTTGTCACCTGTGATGCTGATGGGTGGGTTATCAGCCACGCTGGTCATGATGTGAGTTTCAGGCTCAAAGGTCGAGAAAGCTTTTGCTCATCCTTCCACCCGCAAGAAGAAGGTTAATGCTGCTTCATGTGTACGTGCAACATGTCCAATGTATTTGATACAGAATTGAGTGAACATATGATTTGTGGTCGTATTGGAAGTTTAAATTGACTTTCCTGTTTTGGCTGCTTTTCTCGCCGTACTGATAATGAAATGGGTTTTTGGGTTTCAGGTTTCTGTTCTTGGGTTTAGGTTGAAGACTTCAGGCTCCAAACCTTGGGGAGCCGGCCCGGTCGATTTAGGTTGATTTTCCGGTTTTGAATATAGCCGGACCGGACCCTGCGAAGAACGCCTCATACTGCGTGGTCCAACCAGATTGAGAAGACGCCATTGTTGGGAGTGTTTTTGTTCACTGCAGTGCTGGGCCCATCGAAGCCGCGGACCGTTGCATTCATCACGCAGACACTGCAGACATGGCTTGTCATAACCAGATGTCACTGGCACTGTGAAGTCCACTTCTTTTTGAAAGTCCGTTTGTCGATGCTGGAACTCTACTAATTATCGCGAACACATCACGTGGAGGTTGCTAGTGGGGCGGAAGCTGTGTTGCAGATACGTCGGGGATTGTTGGATTCAACAGAGAAGGTGCAACATGGGAGAGTGCAGCAAAGCATGACCGCTGCCATGTCAGTGTTGCTTGCCGCTGGACCGGCCGGGTCGGGTTAGGATGCCGTTCACATCGCCACCTGCAGCACATGTTCACCAGCACAGATTAAACCAACATGTTTGCGGAAACTGATTTAGCTCACGTGGCTCATTTGCTTTACTACCAATTTTCACTTATACGATCTCAAATGGAGTTGTCGCACAGTGCCACATCAGTTTGGAGATTTGATGCTGGTTCCCCAGTTTTGCCTGGAACCCACGTGCTGGGCAACAGGAAAACTCCGTGGCCACGTCATCCAAGACTGCTAGGAGTTCCGCGCTAAAAGCCACGCACCGGCAGAGAGCGTTTTTGGTGGCGATGATACCCTCAGCAGCGAAGGCTCCAAAACTGTAAGTTGCAAAGTGAAACGTCGCTTTAACACACGCTATGTGAATCACGTCGATGTAGAATGTTTTGCACGTGGGTTAGACTCGGTTAGACGTCCCTTGTAAGCTCAGGTGAACCCTCTATCCCCTAACAGCCCCCAAGTTTGACAAAAAACCACGAGCGCCGTCGTCAACGACTACGTGCCACGCGCGTTCTCCGTGGCTGACGCTCGTGAGCCCTCCCCTCTGCCCTTGTGCTGCCTCCGGTTGGCTGGGCCGGCACTGGATTTCGCGGAGCTTCCGGACCGCTCCATGCGGTGGTCGCCGTTGTCATCTTCGTGCACAGGGACCGCGGTCACTGTCGCAAAAAAGGCGCGTGCAACAACAAGCATAACCACAAATTCATTACGGCAGGCAGCAACTGCATTCCTATGCAAAGCGGGGCGCATGCAGCGACGTTGCCGAACTGCAAGAGTGCACGGGCTGCAGCCCGGCGACACCCCCGTGACATAAAACTCCGGCAAAACGCGAGCACGGAACGACGCGGGGAGTCAGTGCATGACTGTGGTGGATAAACAACAATCGTCGTCTTCGGCCTCGAGGTCGGGGCCGATTCAGCATGAGCGCGCTGGCATGCATTCGCCGCCTCGCGCGGGTCCGCAGCCGAACGTGGGACCTCGCGTGGCTAGACGCAAAAAGGTGCGAGAATCAAAAAAGTCCAACACGTGCTGTGCATTTGAGCATGGTGGGTTCATGGCATGGTTGCCCATCAGCCATTTGGTCACGGTGTGGACATGTGTTCTGTGCAATTTTCATTGCAGGCAAGCTCTCATGGCCGCAGACCAGCTAACATATACGTTGCGGAGCAATTCAAAGTCGCTAAGGCCGTTGTCTCACGAAGACATGTTGCCGCCATTCGGTCGATGGAGAAATGGGGCCGGCAGGGCACGAAGCTTACGATCGTTCCATGCCTGGGCAGCATGTCCTTGTGCAAGTGCTTGCTGGTGCTGCCAGTCACTCGCTTTTGGCTGTTGAAGGGCATGGCAGGCTCCCAGCACCAGAGAGCAGATAGCAGAAACAAAGGTGAACTAAAACTACACCCCTGCCAGGACTTGCCCCTTTGCGTGCAACCAAAATATATAATGCAGAACACACCAGACTTCACTGCGCGCAACAACAACATGACACTCGAGTGTTTTTTGGTTGTTTTGTTGTTAAGTTGAAGCGACCACGCAAAGATCTGACATGGCAGCTTTAGGAACAAACTCGCATTTTAATATTTCAGTGGTCGTTGTGCCAGCAAGTGCTTTCAGTTATGGCACGGCGGGAGGCATGGATGGGAAGTGGTGTTCTGGTACGATGGAGAAAGGAGGGCGGCTTTGGTCACCGGCTACAATTTAGTGAGTTTCGTTAAGATTGGATGTATCACGTCACCGAACGTGGGCCGTTGCATATGCCCAGGCTTTATCAAACCCTCCGACGGCAGCGAAGATCTATTCTGCCATGTCAGCCAGCTAAGGCAGGTCGTGCCCAAGCCAGCAAAGGAGCTTCCTTTTGTTGTTTATTCAACGGGCCAAGGTTTGAATGTCCCGAGCTTTAGACTTTGGCTTCACTTGATAAGGAGGGCACCATCAAAGAGGGCGACCGTGTCCGCTACACGGTGACCCAAGATGGTTTGTCAGGGACCCTCAGAGCACGTGGTCAAGTCTTGGGTTTTTTTTTAAAATTCGTTTCCGCAAAGTGTCGGCTTTTTTGTGGCACGGGTTTAGACTTTTTGGAAAGGGTTCAGGTGGCGTGGTGTGATGGATTGGTGCATGCCCGGAAGCCCAAGTCCTGACACCCTGGAAAAATTCCAAGCTGTGAAGATGAAGAAACGCTAGTAAGCTAGTATCCTGTTCAACGAATCGTGTCACTTATGTGGTTGCATTTCCGCACGTGGAGAAGAAGAGCACCTTGAGCATGAAACAAAATACTATCTTTAGAGCCTACGTGCGCTCGCAGAGCCCAGGAACAGTCGAACAGTCGAAAAACACCCCACAAAGAGACCAGAAAAAGAGGAAACGCATGGCTGGCAACGTGGTCCTGGATTTGACCCACGGCCGAAGCCGCAGCCGGAGACGGCGGCGAAGGCATGGCTTTGAGGAGGAAGAGAAAGAGGGAATCTTGTTAGTACACGTTAGGGAGCTCACTGGTAACCCTGTCGTTGGCCTGGCTTTTGCTGTGGTTTCATACGTTGATTCGTTCCAGTGCGTTCCAGTACGTTTTGTATCCACACACACAAATCGAGCTTTCGACGCTGCCGTGTTCCATCTGTCATGCTCGCTGCGTTGACGCCGTGAGTGGGAGACATAGATGATATAGATGGAGACCGAGAGAGAGACAGCAGGGGTTTTACTCAGAAGACTGGTCAGCTTAGTTTCATCATTTTACTCGGTCCCTAGAAGTAAAAAAAGTCCGAAGCCCAAGAAAGGAAAGGAATAACAAAAAACAAAAGGCAGTGCCCGCGCCCGAACCCCGGCGAGTTAGATTGTAATTTGGGTACTCTGGCTACCTACTGGACAGCCAGTCGGGGATAGTGGGTCGGCTACTGTGTAGCAGCGAGTAAGGCATTATGGCAGTAGGTGGAGGTCAGGGAAATACAACACACAGACAAGCATTCTCCTTCGGTAGATCGGATAGGAGGAACCCAACAGCAGCTTGTAGCCGGGCAAAAATAGTGCAGCTTAAGCAGCGTGGGAACATACTAGCCGTGGGTTGGACTATGGTGTGCTAGTTGCTGTGAGCACGGGAAACTAGATTGACCGCATCACGCATGCGAACTCCATGACCGGGAGCAGGCAGGGGAAGTAATGACAAGGAGAATGGACCTAAACGCCTGCCGGGGGTTTGCATGTCAGTACTAGGGCATCACGATGGTGATAGTGGCCGGCAAAGGGGTGATGGGAGAGGGAAGGCGGGCAGGGGGTTTGCTTAGCCAAATCCACGGAGATCGACCGCCGGCCAACAAAACCAAATGGAACGACGACCAGCGAACACATGTGAGAGTCTTTGGGTCTTCCTACTGAAGCCGGCGCCGGTCTACACAACCACAACAAGCACGGAAGAAGGCTAATAGCAAAAACATGGACCCGAGAAGACGGATGAGCAGACCACTGCAGACCCAGAGCAGACCAATGAACAAGAGGTTGACCCGCACCGCTACGCTTGCCAGATCACGTCCACGAGCATTTTGCCGCATGCTGGAGGGAAGCAAGCAGCGAGCTGTTGTGTTGGTCCTCCTTCCGTACTTAGCACTGCGCATGGACTCCGGCACCCAAGCAAAAAGAAGAAACGGGAAAGAAGGAGCCAAGGAAAGAAAGACACAGAGAAAGAACGTGCGAGCGAGTGAGCCACTACGGTCTTGGAGATTGGGCTCCAGAGTGTGTCAAAAACAAAGCTCATGTTGTTGTTTGAGTGTTGTGGCAACACTGACTTCCAGACCCTGATTTGCCGTAAAATTGTCCAAGCATCCCCCCAATTACCAGACCGACAGCTGTTGCTCGTGTTGCCCTCCAACGCTGAGCGTGAGGTCTAGCAGCAGTCGCAGCAGCAGTAGCCGCAGCCGCAGCCGGGACCGAAAGCGGCGGAGCCGAAGCGGAAGCAAGAACAAGTCCAAAGGCGAATCTCTTCTAGACTTTCTAAGATGTGAGGAACTGAGGGCATCACTTGCTTCTGGGCTGGCAGGGTGTGCAAGCTCGGAGACATTGGAGACGGCATGAGTAGAGTATCTGGTCCTGGAGGTGTTCTTTGCACATGTGAAAGCATCCGGCCCTGCAGGAAGCAGATCCCGAGACACATCCAAAGTGAAGGACGCGAAGGATGCCGAACGCGATCCGGAACGAGATGGGGACACAAAGGCCAACCTGTCTGGGGTGCAGCCGCGGAGCCGCGGGCTCGGCGTAGTGGCGTAAGGCGAATCGTGATAGAAATCATGTGAAGTTTCAGGGGGTGCCGCATAGCCATCACCGTCTCACCATCGTCCTGGCAGCATCATGAATAACAGGAGAAAAAGGAAGGGAAAGAAAAGCTGAAGGATGACAAGGAGAGACACAAATCCAAAGACAAGGAGAAGGACAAGGAGAAGGACAAGGTGAAGCAGAAGGCGAAGGACAAGGAGAAGGGCAAGGAGAAGGACAAGGAGAAGGACAAGGAGAAGGACAAGGATAGGGACAAGGACAAGAACAAAGATCGGGACAAAGACAAGGACAGAGACAGAGCCAAGGAGAAAAAGGACAAGAAGAACAAGCAGAAGGACAGTGACGAGCAAGCTCAGGAGGATTCACATCATGAGCACGGCAAAACAGAGAAAAAGGAGAAGCACAAGGAGAAGAAAAAGAAGGACAAGGAGAAGGCGGCCAGCGAAGCGTGAGGTTGAAAGCGTCACAAGCGTGCCTCTTGCCGCCTCTTGCGGTGATAGTCCCTGGTGTCAAATCCAGTTTAGGATCCAGTTTAGGGCAGAGGCGTCCCATGGCCCTTATGAGTCGTTCCTATCGCTGCCAGTTTGAGCTTGTTGGCATATTCACCCAGCAGCATTGTACAATGTTGTGGATCTGATGCTGCGATGGTGACTGCCGGCCATGAGACTCCGTTTCCGTCCCTTGCGTCCCCGGCAGAAGCTCGGCAACCTGTTGGCATGTTGAGTTTTGTGTTTCACGACAGCGATATACTTCGCGGGCGCAGCTTCGACGGACAAAACTGAATTGCAACATGCAGTGGGCCTTTTAAACCGCACATACAGTAAGCCCAGGCAGGAATGGCTGTCCCACGTTTCAAGGCCGAACTTGTAGCTTTGACCCTGACACATGATGTTGTTTTTTGGCATGCCTCTCCGTGCAGCTTGTAGATCTAGTTCATTCGATCACCAATGGGACAGGGCAGTGCGGAGTTGTCTGGTGTAGTGACTGGCCTGAGAAGCTTCAGGTTCTCAGCCATGGTTGCTCAATGTTAGATGAATTTGCTGCAAGGTCGGAGAACATCCGCCAAGCACTGCAGTCCCGAGTCTTACCGTACCATCAAAGCCCCCAGACATGTTGCATGCCTAGAAACCTTGCAGCATCTTCAAACCCAAAGCCCACCCGAAGCCCTCAAACATCTCAAGTTAGCCAAATCCCCAAAAGCCGAAACCTACAAGCAAAACTCAGGCCGAGGCTCTTCGGACCCGGGGCACGAGTGCGACTTCTGGGGCTCCAAGCGAAGCCGGATTGCCCCAGCATTTTCTCTCCCTTGCTTGAAAGTGAAGTTCCGAAAAAGGTTCAGCCTCAAGGCTTCAAGGCTAGATGGCTTCGGCTCAGGGTGCTCCTTGGCTCCGAGAGCCTAAATGTGGCGGGGTAACCCTTCCCCAACTCAATCGGTTTCGTGTCGGTGCATGGAGCAGAATCTGAGTGCACACATTGTGTAAGGCTAAGTGCAAAGCAGTGGGATGCCATGTACGAGCTCACTTCAGGGCAAGAATGTCATGGCAAACCCATCTCTCTTGTCGCTGCTTTGGCCTTGATGCCGACACCAGTGGCATGGCTAGTGAGCATGTGTCATGTTGCCGGCATATGGTCCTTGCAGCTACACAGGCTGAGGTCAGCATTTGCTCCGAATAGCAATGTAAGGCTTTGGTCGGCAGTGCGTTGGAGGATGTTCGAGGGCAGTACGAAGAGCTGTCATCATGCGATTGGACATCGCCCGGTTTCCAAACAGATTGGCTTGGCAACTCACGATTTCTAGGTGCAGTGTCTGTATAGTGCAACCTTGAAAATGCCGACCTGCAGAGTACGAGTGTCGCTTGTTGTCTTCAGTTTGGGAGGTTGTATGCGCTTGTTGTCGCCGTGTGAAGCTTTCTAATGGAGCAGGGGGCTTTCCGAATTTCCGCTGCCTCACAATCTGCTGCCTCAAAAAGTGGGGGGCATCCTTTGAGGCCCGAGCTGAACGGCAAGGAGGGCATCTGCCTTGACCTCAGAGGTCCGGTTCGGTCAGTGTTCGCTTTGAGCATCTCGCAAAACAGGCGCCAGCGGCCCCACACACCCGATGCAGCATCCTCGTAATCTCTCGGGCACCCTTGTAGGCTTGCGAGTTTCGGCACAGAATCTGCAATGCCTTTTGTTGGGAACTCCGAGTAGATGTCACGAAGCCGAGGGCCGCCGAAGCATCCCGTCTGCCGTCCAGGCTCAAGATTGAGCGTGCGAACCTCCGAACGAACCCCTGCACCAGTTGAACGTTCATCACGTCTGCCGTAGTCAGGCCACAATTGCAGCGCATTGTAGCCAGTTAGCCGCAAGAAGCACATTTGCAGAACCAGCAATTATTTTTGGGGATTTTTGGTGCCTCATCCTCACCAGCAAGTCTACAAGCTCTAACAGGCATATGCACTTCCAGGCTCAGAGCTGGTTTTCCCGAAGCTGAGTACCCATGGCCACAAATAGCAATGGTCCTCAGGGGTGTGTAACTTTGTATGAAAGCCGAAAGCTCCCGTAGAAATGACCTCTGCGCCCAGCGCCGAGCCGGCTGCAGGTTGGGCACACATGGCACGCACACACACGCACACGCACACGCACACGCACACGCACACGCACACGCACACGCACACGCACACGCACACGCACACGCACACGCACACGCACACGCACACGCACACGCACACGCACACGCACACGCACACGCACACGCACACGCACACGCACACGCACACGCACACGCACACGCACACGCACACGCACACGCACACGCACACGCACACGCACACGCACACGCACACGCACACGCACACACACGCACATGCACGCACACGCACACGGGCGCGCCACGCGGCGGCACACGCGGCCGCACAACGCACCTATCCAAGGCGGCGCACGCACCAACAACGCACATGCTCGGCGCACACGCGCACTGCGCACACTCACGCGGCCAGCGCGCACCACCCGCTCGCCTGCGCGCGGCACGCCGCTCGCGCACACGTGCGCGCACACCGCGCGCACCACACGCACGCACCTCCACGCACACGCGCACGCACATGCGCACGCACACCCGCACCGCACATGATTCTACTCACATGCACACGCACACTGCACAACAACCCACACACACACGCCACACTCGCCACACACCTCACACGCGCACCGCCGCTCGCACGCTCACCTACGCGCACCACTGCGCACCACACGCGCTACGCGTCAACACGCGCACGCACGCTCACACGCGCACAATCCTCACGCGCACTACTCAGCGCACGTTACGCTTTCACGCACTCACCGCACGAAGCTTGCGCGCGCTCACGCGCACACGCGCACTCTCACGCGCGCAACCGTGCACAAAAAAGCGCACACGCACTTGCCGCTCACACGCGTCCGCACGCGCACAGCACAAGCGCGCCACCACGCGCCAGCACGCGCACGCACGCTGGCGCCCGCACATACAACGCGCACGTCGCCCGCACGCGCGCACTGCATGAGCCCGCACAAGCAGCGCACGCGCTCACGCACTCTCCGCAAGCGCACGCGCACGAAGACCGCGCCCGCACCGCACCGGGGCGCCCGCGCGACACATCGCACAGGTAAGTCGCTCACGCGCCCGCATCGCGCCAGCTTGCGCTCGCACGCATCCACGCTCCCGCACTCGTCCGCACGCGCGCACGCTTCCCTCGCCCCCGCCCGCACTCGTCCACTCGCCCCTCACACGCGCACGCGCACCGCACTCCCTCACGCGCTCGCACAGCGCAATCACGCCTCGCACTAAGCTCCACACACCGCGCCCAGCGCCCTCTCGCACCGCACGCCCCTGCCCACCGCGCACTCGCACAGCGCACGCGCACAGCGCACGCGCTCACGGCGCACATGGCGCACAAACGCGCACGCACACGCACGCACACACCCCACACCCACACACCCACACCCACACCCCACACCCCACCCCACACCCACACCACACCCACACCCACACCCCACACCCACACCCACACCCACACCCACACCCACCCACACCCACCCCACACCCACACCCACCCCCACCCCCACACCCACCCACACACACACACACACACACACACACACACACACACACACACACACATATGCGCGCGCGCCCAAACAAGGCACCGGGTGTCCTAGCCATATGCACGAACGCACTCGTTCCCTTGCGTGGTCGGAAGATGTGCAGCGCACAGTAGTGGATCTGGGCTTGGATTGCATTAGCTGATGCACAACGAGCGGTTTTGCTACGGCACTCCGCAGTGGAAGTCCAGACGTAGGAGGGGCAGGAGAGCAGAATCGCATGTCTTTACATGTCTTCCAGGTCCCTCCTTCAATTAGTTGGTTGAGACTGCGGAACATCTGGAAGGCATCTTCTTGGACCTCGCCAGCTTCAGGCGCCCGCTGACGGACATGAATACTGCAAAGCTCGTCACCACCCCAAATGAGATTAGGGCCTCTCCTTGTTTCTCCGTCCTTGGCTTGGCCACTTGCAGTATTCGACGCGAAACTGCAACTTCAGTTCAGCAAGGAAGTTGGGTTTGCAATCTTGTGGTGCCGGTATCTGGATCGCGGAACACCGGCCCTAGAAGAGCAAGGCAAGACGATCATCGGTGTAGCCTTTGACAATCAAACGCGATAGTGCGCCGAAGTCCAAGCGGTACAATGCGAAACCAGCAGGGTTCCAAACTCCCTAAACCTATATACATCTACATGAACCATATGCAGATGCGGGTACTGGTCGGTGATTGGCGTATTGTGACTTTTCTCCGTTGTTTGGAGTTTTCCTTTTTTTGTGTTCTAAGTACAGGCCGTGTGAATCCTGCTAACAACAAGAGCCCCACGATGGTTCGGGGGAAAAACAAGGCAACAAAGTCGGGAAACAAATTGGCGGATAGTAGCGGAGGGCCCCATTTCTGGCCTAATCCCTGGGCAGGCACTTTGCACCTCTCCTCGAAGCGAGCCAGGCCATGCATGACAACATGCTTGGGAAATGCTGCGTGGGGGGGGGGGGGGGGATCGCACATGCTGTGGAAGGCCTACGCCCAACTCAGCGGCTGTCGCTTTCGCATCTCCTCCTTCCAGGCGGGATCTGCTTTTGCAGGACCCGAAACGGGCACCTGTTTGAGTTGTGCGACCATGATTTCCATTTTGGCTGGTGCGTTAGTGGATGCACTTGCATCGATGCTTTGCGTGACCCTGCAAAACGCGTTGTGGCCAGCTGGGTGGAGTCTCTCCGTATCAAAACACCCGACAAATCTGGACCCAATCCATATTTTTGAGGCGGTGGAAGGTGAAAGCAGCGAGCCAACCTTGGAGGTTCGGACGGAATAGTTGCGTGCGCCACTATGGGCTACTAAGTTGCTAGGTTCTTCGGGGTAGCTAGGCCTGGCTGGATTGTTAATGGAGGCCTTGAAGCGCTTTTCTGAAAAGTTTCTGTGCGGGGAGTTTGGATGTTGACAAGCGTAGTACTCGCGGAAGTCTCTTTGTCCGAGCTTCATTTGGTGCAGTAGATTCTGCTTAAGAGGCGGAGGCGGGGGATCGGGAGCATTCACATCTTCATCTTCTTGTCAGAGGCGGTTCCTCAAAGCACAGGAACGAGGCTGCAGAGCACACCTGGAAATACCCGACCTGGAGCCTTTCAGCCCAAGAGTCCTAAACCTAAACCCTGAACCCCCCAAGTCCTATGATGAACCCTACTGTTGCACAGAGTGCTCTCGAAAGGGGCCATGGGTGCCTGGGAGGTGGGGGGCGGGCAAGGAGCTCTCCGGTGAACGCAGCGAGCGCTTGGCCGCACGTGCATCGGCGGCCCCGCAGGCATCAATTTTGAACTTCTGAAATCAAATCTAAGGAGCTCTGGCAGCGATTCGTGGATCAAGTGAAAGGGAGGTTGATGGGTATCCCGATGAACCCAAGTGCAGGAGTTGCACTTGCAAGCTTTGGATGTGGTTCAGGTGGCGGCTTTCGCAGAGCGGCTTCAGAATCGAGAGCCTTGCCTCTTGGAGGACCGCCTTCCACGAAACGATCATCTCGCAAGTTGGCGGTGCTCTGCAGTCTTGCCACATGCCGTGGTTTGGTTTGAAGGCACGATTATAGCTGAGCAGTTTGCTGACCACCTCCGATGCGAAACGCCCTTGATGCATCCCAGGCACTGTCCAAACGATGCGAGCCGAAAGTCTACTGCAAAGTACAAAGCCCTTAAGCAGCACAGCATGCACAGCGATGCCACTACGAATCTGGGGGGGCGGAGGAGCTGGAGCGCGCCTTCCGCATCGTGATGGTGGAAGGCGGTTGTGGGCTCATGGTTTCGAATGGAAAGCCTGATTTGGGTTTGGGGTTTCGGGTTAGTACTCAACCTGAACCCCAGAGCCCTAACCGAAATCCAAACCCCGTGCCCCGCAATGCTTGCACAGCTGCATTCCACCCGAAAGTCCTGAAGGCTGAGCTTTCCCAAAGACTGCCTGCCGAACAACCATTGCCCATTGGTATGATGGCTGTGTTGACTTTGTGTGCTGCTGATTCCATGACAGGAGTGCGCAATGCCATGGTTGCCGCTTTTCAGCGCCCGGCTTGACATTGGCGTGTCTTCTCCAAAGCAAGATGTCAGAGGTCTGCTTGGCCGTGGATTCGGCCAGTCTGGCGTGGAAAGATGAAATTCAGGGAGTGCTGAGAGACAGCACAGAAGAAGACATGGAAATACATGTTGTAAGGACTCGAACCGAAACCGAGGCGACTGGACTTGTGGCCGCCCTTGCCGCCGCCCCCAGGCGTCTGGGGGTTTGAGTGCGTGCTTCAGTAGAGGACTTTCAAGAAAAAACTCACCCGCAAGCACTTCGGTCAAGGAAAAATTCCCCCACACCACGCCTTTGCCTGCCTGCTCCGGATTGGATGTGTTGCGTTGCTTCAGGCATCGAGGAGGACGACTGTTGCTACGAGGCGCATCCCAGCGGTGGGTTGAGAAAAAATCCCGGAACATCCAGTGGCCGAGGAAGATGGTAGGCCAAAGGCCAAAGGCAGTCCTCGTGCTAGAAAGACCGAGGGCTTGGATTGCCATGGTGTGCAGCCGTTAAGGATGTGAACTCACCGGTTCCCGTCATTGCACAGCGGCTCTACAACGACGACGTGCGAAGGCTCTGAGGGCTTTAGAGAGAGTGCCGGGGCGCACTGTGTGAAATCATGTGCCTGACGCGGAAGCGGGACCATGCGCAGCTTCTCACTCCTTTGTGCTCCTTCAGTGGTGAAGGGTTTGGGAAGCAACCGTGGGCTGGCCGCGCATGCAGGGTCCTGACTCGACGCACTCAAGCCTTTTGCCTGATTTTACCTGGATGGCGAAAGCGCAGATGAGGGCCGGTCGGCTCAATTATGTAACCCGCAAGAAACTCCTTTGCAAGACTGCCTCGGGCAATTGAGGAAACCAGCAAAGCGCACAACTTGCATCCCCAGTCATTTTTTCAACGGGCGCAGTAGCCGGCGCCAACTGACGTGTCCCTCAAACCTTTCAAGCGCCTTGGGCTTTAAGCTGCATCCAGCTTGGCCCTTCACATGGAGGTTGCTGGCCGTGCCCTGTGACGGCGTGCAATCTCCATGGCTGCAGCGTGCGCTGACCGCCGCCTTCATCGTTGATTTTGCTGCAGAGGTCGGCTCTTTCGGGGGGGTTGCGGTTTAGCGAAGTGTTGAGCAAGTGTTAAGCCTGCCGAACCGAAGCCACATCCCTTACTGCAGGTGGGTCTTCCCTCACCGCAGATGCCCCCAACACAGCAGGCGGGGAAGGCAATGGAATGCAGGTGGCCAGAAAGGTCGTCAAACGTCGTCAAATCATCTGCAGCTGAGGCTTTGGGGTACCGCCTGTTACTAGTTAGATTGGATACTTGGACATGGGGTTCTCGCTGTAGAGACTCCAAACCTGTGTGTGATCACATGAGCTTCCGTTGCAGCTTGAAGAAGACGAGTTGTTCTGTTGGGCTCCATATAGACTGTGAGAGGAGATGATCGAAGAGTTCAGCCTCCGGATCCAGGACTTCCGCATCTGACACGCAAAAGCGCACACCAGGCGCACTAATGAATCCCTGAGTGCAAAACAGGAAGTGTTTAGCAGAGCTTTGAGCAGAGCTTGAAGAGATTCTGTCTGCTCAGATGCCAAGCTGATCTTTACACGACCAAAAGATCCGCAGGAGTATGAGTCTCAGCGTGCAGCTCCTTTGCCTGCCGACGAGCCTGAACAGTGCCCGGGTGGATGAATACCTCCGCTGACTTTCAGGTCTTGCAGTTCACACATTCGCCTGAACCAGGAAGGGCACGAGGGATGCCAGGGGAAGTCGAACGTCAAGGTCCTGTCAAGGTTGCACAAGCTCGTTAAGACACCCGAGGCGTCGGCTGCGTCCAGCCTTAGAGGCCTTTGAACGCGCTTTGGCTCCGCTCAAGGCCGGTCACGTCATGTGCTTGAGCTTGGGGGCTTGTTGTAGGCGTTTCGGGTGCAGGGAGTGCTTACCCCACATGTCTTTACGGAGAGTGTGTTTCATGCGCATGGAAAGGCGGAGTCGCAGCGCCTTCGTGAACAGGGAGGCAGGCTTTTTGGCATTACGGTTCAGGGATTCTCCTTTTCACGTCCGAAATTGTGATCTCCATGGGCATGCACAAGTGCAAAGCTTATCCATAGTCTTGCCAGGGCGCTTTGTCGCCGAGAACAAGGCAAGCTGGGCAGGGATACCCCGGGTTTCGATGACACCGTCATTGCTCCATATTCCTCCAAAGCTCCACTCAAGCACTACGCAAGCCCCCACCTAGTGGATCCTAGTACTCGGCGCGTCCCAATTGGGAAGCAGCCGCACAAGGGGCCAGTCATGAGAAGCGTTGAAACTGGGAAGGCAGAGAAGGAAAGCGCTGAACCCTACAATGCCCAAGCCGCGCACAGCCGCGAATTGTTGCCAGGCTGAAGAGTTTGCGATATGGTCGTGGTGATGTTGTGGTGTAGCAACATCAGAACTTGCGTTTTTCATGCAAAGCATCACCAAATCGGACCGGCCGAAAGAGCTAAACGCAATGACGCCGGTGCTCAGCGGTTGGCGACATCGAAAGCCCGTCCTTTCTGCTCCTTTTTCGCATCCCTCACCGCAGCCGGAACGCCCTGATCCGTCGGAGCATCCTTTTCCTAAATTGCCGCCCGAGACTCTTTTGATCGTCGCTGTCCCGCCTCCTTTTGCCGCGGTGGCTGGAATGTGTCGCCCCGCGTCGCCGTGCCGTTTTGCCACCCGCAGGCTCCTCGACCAATTTCGGTAGCAAGGCTGGCCCACAACCGCGGGGTGCTGTTGCTTTGCTGTTTGTTTTCTATGCTGCGCGGAGGGCCGGAATGGTTGCAGTCAGCAAGCCTCCAAGACCAGTGTACAGTAGCGCAAACGAACGGCCCCGAGTAGTCGGATGCAAGCACCACACTGGCAAAGAGAGACCCTGCTGAAAGTCATCGTGGCAACACGTTTCAGTCGCAGCTAGCTAGACCAGTCATGGAAGTGTGATGGCTTCAAGATGTTTCAAGCCCCCTCCGATTTCAATGGTTTAGGGTTTGGGGCGGAACCTCTGGGCTGCTTGCGACTGCCAGACGGCGATCGCCCTCGGCGCTGTGGGGGTCGTTGGTGGTGCAGTGGCTGCCGTATTGGCAGGAGGCAGTACGGGTCGTGCGTATCCCAAACCGATAGAGTCTTGTGAGTGGTGTGGTGTGAGTGCGCGTCTGCGGTCGTCGGTCAGACTTCCCGACGGAGACCTATGGGTAAACATAAACTAGCTTAGGAGGAGCTTAGGGTTGAAGGGTTGGGGTGAAGTCCTACTACCCGCACTTGGCCTCGAGCAGGTTCCAGTGACCCTGTTTCGGGTCCAATGGCTGATCAGTCGCACTGGATGTGTTGGTGCAATTCAAAGTTCGGTTGCAGTCTGCAATTGCCCATGAAATCTCAAAGTCCTTGCGCGCAGATTTCTGTTTCATGTTATGTTGAGGGCCCAATTCTGAGAAGCTTCTGTAATTATGCAAGCAGCGAAGCATTCGTCAGACACATGTACTAAATCTGACTTAAGTCAGGAGCCATCGTTGCTGGACGACTTGCGCAACGCGGAAGTCAGGACATTGATATAAGAGATAAGCTGGTTATCATAAGCGACTATGGCATTGGCATCTTCGACTCTAAAGTTCGTCGTTTGTTTTATTCCGCTGCATTGGTTTAGGGCTGGAGCATGATGCAGACGCGACATCCCATCCGACTGTTTGACGAAGGGGGGGGAGATCGCAAGTTGTTGTCAATCAGGAGCCTGCTAAGTTCATCCGGAGTGATAGCGAGCGATGGGAATTTCGGATGGGACGCTCGCGCTTTCTGGTCCGTGAGCCTGCAGGAGCACGGAGGAAGCCAAGAAAGCCCACAGGAACCTGAGCAGCCTGAGCAGTGAGCAGAAAATTGCTTCGGAGGGCTCATGGGGCTGCTTCAAACCTTCAGCCAGTTCGTCCGAACTTCAGCACCATGGTGATGTCGTCGCGGTGTGTTCGAGTTTGCGGCTCCTCTTCTGCTGTTGCCAAGGCGTGGAGCGCAAGAGCGATACAGGGCGCTGGCTAGCCTCTTCCTCAAGATATGTAGGTCAGGGCCAGGGCAAGTCTGCTTGAGCTTCCCACTAAGCTGACAAAACACTAGGAAGAAGCACAAGCATCGTAAGGGAACAAAGGAGTTTAGGCAAAGGGTTCGAAGAAGGGTTCTGATTTCTTTGGGCCTTCCTGGTAGATGGAGAGCTTTAGGGTTTCAGGTGTCGGCTTGGGCCCCTAGCTCAATGGTCGGCTAGCTCGAAGATACTTGAGGAAACCAGGTGAATGCGCGTCCCCGAAGGCTAGGCAGGTTGTTTTTGCAAAACCGAAGTGCGTAGCCAAAGCCATATGCACAAATCCTTTGCGTGGAGCTTCTGCACAGCCCAAGCTGAATTCCAGGGAGCCTCTTGAGGCCAAGGTTCGAAGAGTCGAAAAACCATAACAAGCCCACCTAATCGCAACTGAAACCACAGGTGCGTCTGGATGCCTCTGCCGGGGAGTTTGCGTTCAAGGAGGCAGCACTCTTGAAGAGTCCTCAAGCGCCGTAACTTGCAGTCCCTCGAAAGGTCGAGTTAGGCTTCCTGACCGCTGGAAGTCGTGCAGTTGCCGGTGCGAGATGGGGGAAGCACCCGCAACCCCCCTTTTTTGCGCAAAAACTCCAACAAGCACAGAGCCTAGGTCTCCTTCAAAGGGCCTCTACTCTCCCTTGCAGGGTATGCCCTCAACCTTAGACTCTTAGACTTCGACCTTAAGCCACAAATTCCTGAAACAGCGCAGGGCAACCTCCAGCTCCTATCTGCCTTGAGCTTGGCAAAAGGAGTCAGGGTTGAGGCTTGTCAAAAGGCTTCACAGCATATATTCCTATCGCACATGGAGAGTTCAAGGCAGAAGTCGGATTTGCTCATTGGCAGTCCCTCTCAGCTTGACGCTGCCACTTGACACGGATTCCTTCTGCCCTTGGCTCCGGGGAGAATTTTCGCAATGTACCAAAGCCTCGTCTTGCCTTTTTCCTGGCTTGTGAGGCTTCAGCTCCTGGTTAGCAAAAAATAGAAAAGGCTGAAAAAGCCCACGACCACCACTGCCCAACGCTCCAGAAGCCCCTCATGAACCGCGCGGGCAAACCTCGGCAACCCGTTTGTCACAAGCAAGTCGGCTGAGGCCGGCTGCGCAGCCAGCTCCGAGGGAGTCTCGGTGCTCGAGGGCCTGGACATGCTGCTCTCACAGGCGATGCTTCAAACAGTCCACAGTAAGTACCGTAGGCTTGCGGAGTCCTGCGGAGTATGTGGCTTTGACTCGGTTCGGAACGGGAGCTGAAAGCCTAAGTAAATGGTTTGCGGACAAGGCCAGCGTGCTAGAAGGCATGTCACTCATGTCCAACGTATTGTTTCGCGATGGTCCGTAAAGTCACAAGTTTGCCGCTTCACCTTTTGCTTCACCTTTTGCCGTCTTTCTTGGTGTAAATTCATCGTTTTCTTCTTCTCCAGTTCTTTGCAATCCAAGCCTGCTGATAAAGAGAGGCGCAGAGCATGGGTGCGGGATTGGTTTGGTTGCATGGTTGTGGTTGGGAGGTTGCTTCTCGAGCTAAGATTTCTGCCGCAAAGTCACGGCTCCTCGCCGCAGCCATGCAGCCGTCTCATTCTCCGGGGTGTCGAGCTTCCATGGTTTCAGGGTTCAGGGGTCGCCAAACCACGTACACCACTAGCAGCAGAAGCGCATCTCAAAGTGGGCCAAGCCAACTCCTGCCAGGGCAAAGAGGGCCCCCCTGAACTCTGAATCCTAAACCTTGGGGGCAAAAAAAGCTTCACTGGAGCAGTCCGCCCAAGCCTGGTTCTCTCAATCCAATGGACCGCGAGCGGCGTTTGTCGCAAGACCGTGCGAGGTGGGAAGGGTTCAGGGTTTACGGTGGGCTCTTGACATTGCGCCTTCACACGCTGTTTTGATTTTCGGTTGTTTTTGCAAAGATGTTGCAAGCCGCGATGCATACGCAGAACGAAGTACATGTGATTTCTGCCGGCGTATTAGATGGCAGCAGCTCCAGAATTTCCTGTCCGCTCTACCGCTCAGCAAGCAACAGTCAGCCCAGGAGGAGCCTCTCTTCAGGCTCTCACGTCCTGGCATGCGTCGGGATTAGGTTCAGCCAGTGGCGCCCACACCAAAAACTGATCAGATATCGCCAGTAAATCAAGCCCTCCGTGAGCCCTCTTTGAGGCCCCTCTGTGCTCTGAATCCAGCTCGATCCTCACTGTTGGCACTAAGGGAACCCGACTCGGAACCTGGGATGTTGACTTTTCGCAGGACACCGCCAAGCTTTCAGACAAAGTCTGGCGTTGCAATGCTGGGAACCTATATGATTGTGTGGGCACAAGGATGGGGTTGCGGGACAAAGTTGGACTGAGAGTTTAGATCGGGAGAAGAGCAGGGGAGTTCTTCCAAACGATGCACTTAGGTTGGGCAGGAATTGGGGAACCTTGTGATTGTTGCAAGTCACTTTTCCCTTTTTTCTTTCATCCGGCTTTGGAAGGCACAAGGTTCAAGCATCTTAGGCCATTCTAGACCCTTGGTGTTGGGTCGTGGCGACATGAAAAGTGTGTCGTCTGAACTGATGCGCGCGGTGATTCTCGATGCCCTTCGGAGGGTTTTCGGCACTCAGATCACAAAGAGGCCTGAACTGAACCATGAACCTTCATTGGCCAAGGCGTGCGGCCAGCCCTACGAAGTTGACGCGCGAAGCTGGGCAGAACTTTTCGTGAATGGCAGACTGCATTTGCAGATGGTGATGTTGACTGGGTTAACTGGCAACCCCAAATCCCAGACCCCAGGCTGACTCCCATACACGGGTAGCGGCGCCGCAGCCGACGTCGCGGCCCAAATAGAGAACCGCGCGGCCCGTCTGCTTTTGTACAGTCCGAGAGCCGTCCCCAAGCCATGGCTTTCACCGCAACGACCCACAGGGCTCGCCCATCCCTGGCACTGATGGCCGGAAAGGGGAGCTAGTTTGAGTCAATTTGAGGGTTCCGGATTTCTGGTTTTTGGAGCCGGGTGGGCCGGAGGCGTACATTGGGAATGTGCACTACCCATTTCGCCCTGCAGGCACTGGCAGGGCTTTATGCCTTCTGCTGCAGGACCAGGTCATCCCAGGGATGGATTTTCAGAGTCATGTGTCGTACGCTCTGGGCAGTGCCTTTGCACTTAGGCATGTCTGATGAATGCGCGGGCACTTTGTGCTGAACGAAGGTAATCAGGGTAGTCGCGCACCTTTTGGGGTTGCGGTCTGCAGTTTTGTAGAGTCGAAGATCGGGAGTCGGGATCTCCGGTCTCGAGCCTGGCACCAGGAGCTGGGCTTTCGTCTCTGGCACCCCGGCGCTGCGCAGCCCAGGGCGCTCGGTGGCAGCAGCTTGGGCTCGTATTCGTGGGATCTCGGGTGCCGCAACTACAATCACTTACAATCACCAATGCTTTTTGTTGGGTCGTGACTTTAACGGCCCGTTCATTGAGTGGTGCAACCCAACCGGTTCGACCTTCAAACCCCAACACCCCGGCATGCCAGGAGCTCGCCAGAGCACCCTTTGATCGTCTGAGACACGATGTGACACGTTTGACTCAGGTGTCCAGAGGGTCCAAGGTGGACGACATCGTGGAGGTGAATTGGCTTTGTGCACCTGACATGTGCGCGTTGTAGCTGCGCTGGGCCTTGCCAGGCCCAATCCGCGAAATCCGCAACAGAAAAACATGAAAATGCGCGAGAAACAAGAAGCAACCCCGGACAAATCCAGGAGCTGAAGGGCTTGACGCTGCTGGAGGCCTCAGAACTTGTCAAGGCCCGCATGTCAGGGCTTAGTTAATTCTGCAGAATGGAGGGCTTGAGAGTTTGGGAGTTGATGGGGCCTGCAGGGGTGAAAAGAAGCCAATGTGTTTTTTGTGTTTTGAGTGCTGCTGGCATGTCTAGGCCGGTCTGGGGCTCTTGACATCCTGGAAGAGACCTCCTATTGGACCATGGTGTCTAACATGGCTCCTGGTGTGGGTCGAATGTAGCAGGACAAGAAGTGCCCCATGTGAATTGTATCCGTGTACCCTCCATGCTGATCATGCTGTCAAAAGCTGCCGGATGCTGCCAGCACAAGAGTAGCACAAGGCGAGCCTCCAAGCTTAGGGCCACGACTGCCTGAGAATCGATGTTCCTCAGGCCATTGAAGAGACGTTTGGCGTCGACGCCTCCGCGTCTGGAGGTGCCGTGGTGATGGCAGCTGCAGCCGGCGGTGGTGGGGGCGCAGAGGCCGGTGAAGGGCTGTAGTATTGTGTTGTTGGGAATGCATCATAGTCACAATGCATCCGAGATTCCTAGATGTGAGATTTGAGTCGGCATCTGCCTTGGCACGTAGCAGGCACATAAGTCAGTGAGGTTAAACCCTCCGAGTGTAGAACAAATGTGGGCGTGGAGGTAAGGTTCACGAAGATGGCGAACCCTTCAAGACGTTTGGCCGGAAAGCCCTTGCTCCCAAACCCCATCTTCGCCCAGTCGCTGCAGGCGGAGGCTGCTCCGGAGAAGACGGAGTTTGACCTCGTCCTGAAGGCAGCTTTAAGGTCGTGGAAGGTTGTGTGGTGGATGTTGAGAAGAGTGTCTGCGAGTGCCTGAGAGTGTCTGAGGGCTTTGTTCGCGTTGGAGGGTTTGAGATGAGCCGAGTTCTGTGACCCTAGAGCTCGTGCTGCAGGAAGTGCCCAAGGACAAGAAGATTGCAGCCCTTTGGATTCCTTCGGACCTTAATTATCGCTGTCATTTGAGGCTCAGGTAGATTGAATTTGGGTGTTGGTCGCTACTGCTTGGCTGCACTGTGCTAGTTGTGTTGAAGGCTTGAGGCATGGATCGCATCAGCCTGTCCAGGCAGGCCTTGCAAGGTCACGAATGCGGAACATGCCGGTATCAGCTTGATGTCGGCACAGTGATGACAGTGGATCCGCTTTGTGCCTAAGACCGCTAGGACCTGTGTCAGAGCAGCGAGGTTTAGTTCTGGCATCCCTGACCCTTTGACAACAAAGGTCATCAAAGCAGTGCGGGCCATCACGGGCCTCGGTCTCAAGGCACGCCACACGGCCCCTTAGAAAGTGCCCCTGGCCCAAACTCAGAATTCAAAAGACCTCGGTCCTAAACCCCCCAAAACTCCAAGCCTTGAGTCATGTTTCTTACTTTTCATCGAAGCCCTAACATTTCAAGACTCCAACACAATCCCCTGGAGGACGCGAAGGGCCTGGCAGACAACCCAGGCAAGATCGTCGAAGGCAAGCCCAAGGACAGAGGATGTCCAGAGCTGTCTCGTTGAAGTAGCTTTGTAAGTTGCTTGTTCATTGGCTTTTCCAGCGGTTTCTGCGAACGCTGAAGGGCTCAAGGTTGAGGCTTTGGTCTAGGAGAGAGGCTTTGCGGGGCCTTAGGGTTCCAGAGGATCTTGCGGGGCTTTCGGATCTACTTTCGGCATAGCAAGGTTTTTGAAGCAGTGGCTCGCTTTGTGCGTCTGCCAGCTGTTGCGGGTTGTCTCTTTGGGTCGGTCTGCTTTGCACGAAAAGAGAGCGCGATGAAGCAATTGGCTGTCGAGTGCAGCTCCAGAGCCGAAGAAGACTGTTGGGGGGTTTACGATATGAGGGGGGTACCTTATTGGGGGTCCTACTATTTGGGGGCCTATTTTAGGGTCCCCACTTTGCGTAAGCCCTCTGTTGAGTTATGTTGGGCAATGTGGAGCACGGGCCCTACAACCACGCACAGGATGTCTGCGAGGATGCCCTGAAGCAGCTCGAGGCCTTTGGGCGTTGAAGTATTTGAGGGAGGTTTCAGGGTTACCTTGAAAGCCAGTAGACTATAATTATGGGCTGCAGTTTCCCATTTTGGGGGTATGGTAGCCCCTTATTTTTTGGTGTAACTTGGCGTTTCAGGGTTGCTGGTTAGAATCATCCCTGGTCTGGTCCTCCTATGACTTTGAGGCCGTTGAGCGCTATCAACATTTGTTCTTTTTCAGGCCCTCAACAGCCCCTACCTTCGAAACCTGCGCCCCCCCGCAACTACTAATGGATTCTCTTCCAAGGAGGCGGGTGCTGTGGCAGCCATCGAGTAAGCTGCAGATTCTTCTCGCACCCACCGGGAGCCAAAAGCGTGTCACAGATTCTCGGGGTGCGACAGTGTGAGACTGCTTCATGCTGCCATTGTGCTTGGGTGACCCCCTTAACCAGAAGCAAGACGGTGTGAGCGCGAGTGTGAGAGTGGAAGCCGGCGTGAGCGCACAGTTGTTTGCCAGCTGGCCTGCTGTGGCATCTCTGCTCCATTCGATGAGGTTGGTGAATTTTGTTGTTTTGTTTTGCCCCTCAGTCCCCCTCAGAATGCGCATCCATAGTTGCTGCAAAGCTCGAGGTCGCGAAATCCCACACTCCCGTTCCACGCCAGCCACCTGCTGGCTGCTAGATGCTAGCGTGTGGGTCGGCGCATTCTGCATTGATGAACGTTCCAAGCCTCGCGTCGGGATCCTGAATCTAAACCCTGCACTCTTCTACCTACCCTGCTATTCAGCCGCCTTGGGCCCCCCGTTCAACCCTTCCCCACAGTCATGAGCCCATCGCCCCGCATGCGCTCGGCCTCCCCGGTCCTGGACACTGCGGCCAAGCAGTGGGCGACTGAGGGGAAAGGGCGAGGCAGAGCAATCTAGGGTTTGGGAGTTTTTTCACCACTTACAGCCACTTTGCTCCTTCGGATATGGCCGTTCTGGAGCAGCTTACCACCTTGCTGTGCCAGTACTCCCAGTATTCTGTAGCAGTGGCAGACTCAGTGGCATAGTGGCAGAGTGACACTGATACAATCTAGAGCACCAGCCGCAACACACAATTGCAGCGTCTCGAAGGACGTGTGCACCCAGTTTCTTGTGGCTGAGGTCGACAGTGGTGCAGTGTGAAGTATGAGTCTGACTCATGCCCGTATTTTCAATCAAGGTCCGGACAAAGAACGGAAATGAGGACCCGCCCCCCCTCCCCCCCCGTCTCGTCGGTGGAGTCCTTGGGCCGAACGCCCCGGTGGAAAAGTGAAACAACGAGAGTTGCATTTCAGCCCACAAGCCGCTCCACATGCCTCCCCCCTCCCGCCCCGTCCACACTCCGCAGCTTGTGACTGTGGCATGGAAAGTCGGGAACATGTGAGAAACGCAAGAGGCGCCGCCGTTCCGGAAAGCCTAAGTGGCTCAAGACCTGCCTTCAAGCTACTCAGGCTCGGTACAGCATGGCTCGGCCCACGTCTTTGTCAGGTGCCTCCAACACCGTGGCAGTTCACTTACAGGCAGACTTTCCAGAGGCGACCACACTCTTCTCGAGGTTTGGCGACATTGCGCGGCTTGACACCACCTTGAGTGCCGTCACCGGATTGGTGTTCGTGACCTTCTTTGACGTGAGGGTCGCGCAGAAGGTTCTTCAGCACTTCGGAGCGCTAGCCGAACCTTACCCGTCGGCCGCACGCGACTTTCGTGCAGTCAGCATTTCGCCAAAGGTCATCGCCGATCTCCGGGACCAAGTAGGTCAGCTCCACGGCTATGGAGAGATCGCTGGCATTTCGTTGTGTGAAGAGGAAATCGCTGTGGAGTTCTACGACATGCGTGCAGCTCAGCGAGTGACAATGTTGATCCCAGCCAGCCGGCCCATATGCCAGGTGAGCCAGGCCGCCGCACAAGGCCAAGAAATCCAAGGTCAGAGCAGCCAGATTCCTGAGCCATTCTGTGACTCGGCTGAGTCACTGCCTCCGGCTGAGTGGGTGCAGGAGCCTTTGGGCCTTGCATCAGTTCCATTGACCAGCAAGGAAAGTGAGACTCCTGCCACTCCTCCGTCAAAGGGAGGACGTAAATGGCAAGGGAACGGCAAGCCTGTGCGCGAGAAGATGGGAATGGAGGACCTGCAGAAGTTTGACATCGTCCCTGACAAGATCCGCTCCGGCGAGGACACACGCACGACTGTGATGGTGAGGAACATTCCCAAGGAGCTGCGTCTGACAAAATGTTTGACTTTCGTTGGTCCTGCAGCGGTTAGCAAGGGTTAGTAGAATATGTCCTGTCTTGAAGCCAATTCTAGAAGTGGAGGGGAAGACAGAACGAAGTATAGCGAAGTAGTAGGTTTATTGGCTTGCGCACTTTTGGGCTGGATTGGCGGGCCCCAATTTTTTTGTGGGCTTTCTGCCCGCTGAAATGGCGCTTTTCTTCACAAAAGTGTCTGGAAACTGCCACCACATGTCACAGTTTGCGCAGGAGAAGGCGAAAAGTGAAAGACATCATGAGGTCATTGCGGAAGCGGTTGTCGGGTAGATTCAGGTAGGTGGCTGGTAAAGTCTCGCAAGTAGTATGGAGCTTTTCACAAACAGGCGCGCAGGAGTAAGATGCACCGAATGTGTAATCTACAAACGGTTCTTTTCGTGCAGGTGTGAGGCATTGTACATGGTCACGTGTGCGTAGGGCGAACCGCCGAGATGTTGCAAGAACCAACAACAATAACATCACTTCGAAACAGGCTTTTTGGAACGATCGAATATTTCCACGTGCTGTTGTTTTAGCGATTTGGAAGTCCCCGCGCCTCGCAATGATGTAATTCACAATTGCCTTAAACTTAAACTACGACCAAGCGGAAAGCAAAACCAAAGCTTCCCAAGACACAGCAAACACCCGTTTCCCAAAGGCCTGCAGTCGAGAAGCGTTTGTGGCACTGCTGCATCCTTGTGGTTTGTCAGACAGCTACACCTTCTTCTACATGCCTTTCGACAAGCGTCGCGGCACGCACTGTGGCTTTGCATTCATCAACTTCCGGACCCCCAACGACGTATTAGTGCTCTGCCAGCGCATGACGCCATCTTTCTGGCGAGCCTACTTGAAGCGGGGTCATTTCACACAGTCGACGCTGCCGGCAGTCAGCTTTGCTCGTTTGCAGGGTCAGGAGCAGCTCACGAAGCACTTCAGCCTTTCTGCCGTGATGCGAGACAGCAATGCCAACAGGCGCCCTGTGTTCTGCCAGAAGAGCAACAACATCAATTCGGAGGAGGCAACACGCAGCGAGCTGCCGGATTCGGGTCACCTCACGGACGACCTGCAATCTTGCTATGTGTCCAGCAAAGTCCATGACGTGAGCTTCTCAGAAAAGGATCTTTTGGGCTGGGATCTAATTGGTGAAGAGAGCATTGTCTTCCTCTTGCGCGGTGGACAGGGGGCGTGATTGCCCAGAAACCTCGCGTGAAAGGAGGAACCGAGGCCAGGATTGCCAGGATAGCTGTATGCGAATGAGTTTGCAAACAGGGAAGATCTGGGAAACGTGAGAGACTTTGTTCTGTGCTCTTAAGCCCTAACCAGCCAATGACCTCCAGCTTAACTTTGGTGTCATTGTGCTTTCCAGCTGTCGAGCCCAGTTTCCCAAAGCACCGAGCTGGTGCGTTCTGCACAGAATGCTCGGTCCGACCCAACCATTGCCAACACCAAGGGCATGTACCGTTTTCTAACGTTGTGACGATACTAGGTGCCATTAGAGGATATTAGACTCATTAGACGTCCAGGTTGATGATGCCCCACAGGATCGGGCAAAGACTCTTCTAAAGCGCGAGTCGTCTCGCGATACTGGTTCCAGCAGCAGAACTCGGGCCCTCAGCTGTCCTGCATTGTCCTACCTAAGAATCATGCTCTGACCTTTTACTACGCAGCTTGGGGGTGAGCTCGGAACCGGCTGAAGCCGAAAGCTCCAGGGCCCAAGATGCTGCGATATAACAGTGGCCTTTGCCAATGGAACGTTCAACGCGCGGCTTTGACCTTGGTGGCACAAGCACATCCTTAGGAGGCCTTCATCACACGTCACCATGCGTCACCATGTGTGCCCACAGCTCTTACCAAAACCATACCAACCCAACAGTCTGTGATTCGCAAAGCCGCAGCTGCTCCGCTACGGGAGTTCTGAGGCTGGGATTTTCGATGCTCGATGAAGCTGGGGAGTGGGGTGAGACGTTTTAAACGCTTAGCAGTTTTAGGTACTTTGAGACTTTGAGACGCGGGCCGGTTTGCAGGCCAATGTCAATAGGCAAAGAGAGCTTCTCGAGCGAAATCGATGCCCAGGGGCGGCCAAACGTGCTGCAGCTCTGACACTTCCGAGCTTGGCAGGGCCTCGAGTTTCAATCAGGAAAGATGTTTGATTAGGGCACCCTGCCCAGGACCCAGGGCATCACGCCCCTGCCAAGAAGGCCAGTTGCTAGTGAAGGGCGAGGTGGCGCAAGCAAAAGCTGTGGAGGTCTCAAGTTGAAGCGCTGCGCCTTGAGGTCGGCAACATCGATGCGCTGAAAAAAAAAAGAGCGCCGGTCCTTGAGCTTTGTCAAGAGTACATGCGCCGTTTCTGAAGGGGAACTGCATCTTTCAACCTCTTGGCGCTCCTGGCACCTTTGCTTCTTGAGGCTCTTCTCGGCCTCTGCGGACGACCGGCCACTTGGGCGAAGCCCGTTTGGGGGCTCGAATTTTGAATTGTTTTTCGGGTGCTGTTTTGGCATGTCCGTCGCATGTTGTAACCGATTGTACCCTTTAGCACCAAGCAAGTAAAGTACGCACAAACCCTGCACTTCCCGTCAATTCGGCCCCCACGGAGGCATTTGCGCAACTTGGCCCTCAAGAGCGACCAGGTGGAGACCCGTGCTCGGGCAGTAGCTGCGTGGCCTCAATGTTGTTGGGGGTGGCATCTGGTAGCTCGACTTTCTGGTGATTTGGATGATTTACGGCTTTGGTTTCGAGTTTTGGGACAGGGAATTCCGGATATTCGATGGTTTGAAAGGTGAGGATGGTTGAGGTTTGAGGCTTAACGCTGTCAAGGGCTTCTGGTAGGAACCAGGAAGAAGTGATCCAAACGCCCCGGAGAGTAAGTCCGGCAGCGCAAGACAGCAGCCCAAGCCCCTGGCGGCCCTGGCGTCCACGCGAGGTTCAATCGCGCTTTGCGTCTCAGAGGCTGGAGTCCGGCAAGACTCGGGGAAAGGGGGTGACTTGGGGTGAGCCTTGGAGAATGAGAATCCCAAAACTGATCGAATCCTCCAGGCTCGCCGTCCGAGCACGTAACCCCCGCCCCTTAAAGAGACCCGAAGCTGCCCTGGGAGGCTCTCCCAGTGCCGAGGGAAGCTCGCCACAGTGGCCGGGCACCTCACGGCGGCTTCCAAGGCTGCCCACCACAACCAGTAAGTCTGTAAGTTCGAACATCAACATGGCTCTTTGCAAGCTTCGATCGGGTCTCGGTTGAGGTTCGGGATCTCTGCATAGGCTTGAGTTTGTTCCTTGGCTTTGGAGGATTTCTTTTTCGCTTTTGTTTTGAATTTAGGTTTTTGCGAGTTTCTGTGAATTCAGCCGCTCAATGTGCAACGTGATTGGCGGAGTAAAGGACAGTCAGAATTGTAAGGAAGTGGGCTACAGTTGGCATGCTTTTCTTCTTGCGTCGGGGGGATCTACACGTGTGTGCGCGCTCGCGCTAGATTGGGGTGTGCCGGTGCATCCTACACACTGCGATATCCATCTGCGAGCGATGTTCGCTGCGAAGGCATGTTGCATAAAGCTGCCTTCAGTGTGAACCCTCCATCGACTTTTCAGGTTGGCATTCCCTGCCGCGTGGAGGTTGCCAGGCCGGCGCCGCTTTGGGGTCTGCAGGGCGTGCGTGGAACTAGGAATGATCAATGCCCGCCACGCAGATCAGACTCGTTCTTCCGGGAAGGGCACTGCTACTTCTGAGACTTGCACCCCTGAGGTATACTCCTGGACTTGTTTTGCACGAATTACCACTGTGTACCCGGCGTCTTTAAAGAGGATGGTCCAGGTTATGGTCCTCAGCCAGATTCGAGCTTGGAAGCTCCAAGCCCTGAGCCCTGGAGAGGTCTGATATAAAGGAGTTTGATTCGGGTAACAAGGGCGGGTGGACAGGCTCATCCAAGAGTTGGCGTGGCTGCTTGGGGACTACGTCTCGTTGGAGCCTGCCAGCCCCCGAAGTCCCCGCAGCGCCAGGCGGGGGGGCTGAAGTTGTACTAGAGAATTGAAGGGCCTTGGGTGTAATTGCGGGATCTATGGCCAGGTGGCCGGGGTGGGGCATTTGGGAGGTGGGAGTTTTGACATAGGGTAGCCCGGGTGCGGCATTTGGGAGTTGGTAGTTTTGACTTTAGGGCATTGCAACATAGGACGACGGAGTGAGTCTAGAGCAGATACTGTCGCAAGCGAAGTTGTCTGAGCGCCTGTTGACTTGTGATCAGCGCATCGTTTCCTAGCGATGAGTTGCACTGCGGCGGAAAGGCCGCCTTTGCACCAGCGGAAAGTCATCAGGCAACAAGTGCATAAACGTTTCTTGATGTCGAGCCCCTTGCTGTGCTATGCTATCTTGCCAGCTTGCTGCTATAGATGATGGCAGTGGCCTCTGTTTTGGCTCTCCCAAAAGCATCAGCCCTCAGTCCTTGTGGGGCTCGACTCCCAGGACTCCGAGCCCGCGCCTTGCGCGGAGCCCCGTGCGGTCGCTGACGCCAAGGAGGTGCTTGGGAGCGACTGTAGCGATCTAGAGGGAGAGATCAGGGTCGGGGCAAGATGGTTTGCGGTTTATGCAGGACTGAGGCGAGGGGCTTCGGTTTGGGTACCGGCCGCGAGCTGCCAGGCCAGGAGGGGCAGCTCCGCGCTCGTTTCTCGGATGCAGTAGCCGCAGTGGGGCCGACTCGAGGAGGATTCTTTTGGTTAGCACGAGAACAAACATGGGACATCCATTTTTCCCATGTCTAGGATCGTAAGAAGTCGAGAGGGGCATTGGAGGGGTCGGGCGGGGCTGGGGCAGTTTGAGGTTGTTCTGGGGCAGATGGAGTGCGAGAAGCTGTTGCTGGTGCTGTTCAACTTTCTGAGGCTAAGTCCACGTGCTGAACCCTACGCCGCTTCAGCAGCAAGTTGCCAGACTGGTCCTTTCTAAACCTCGACGTAATTCGGCGTATACAGCTTAGACTGTGGCAATGCTTCTTTTTTTTTTTTGATCCAGGTCGGAGTGCGTGGGTGGATCTTTCGCTATATTTTAAGGCTCGAAATTGCAAGATCCAACACGTCGTTCTTGCTCAATCTCAAGCATCTAACCCCAGCGTATCATTCCAAGCATCCACCTGTTCCATGGATGTAAGGGCCTGAGCTGAGCAGGTCTCAACAACAAAGCTAGCCAATCTTCTGATTCTTGTAAAGGTTCGTTTGGTTTTGTCTTTTACACCGAGAATGTGTCCTGCAAGGGGCCCGTGAACCAAGGCCTTATGTAGTGCCCGCAGAGTCGTATGCGGTTGGACTAGAAGTCCTAAGCTGCCCCACACCAGCCTTGCGATTTCTACATCAATGCAAGTAAAGGGCCAGATGTCAGGTGGCCCCCATCTCGCTGGAGGTTCGGCTTGTCAGGCAGCCGGGGGTCTCTGGTGCTTTTGCCACTGTGTTTGGCTGCGCCATCTTGGGTTCTCCACTTCAGGTCTTCACAAAGTCGGTTCTTCACGAAGTCCGGTAAGTGCTGTGCAAGCAGCCTCAGGGTTCCTGACAAGGAATGAAGCGGACATGGTGCGAACAGCTCCTGAGTAAATAATCCATAGGCGACGGGACAAGGTGGGAGCACTATCCTCTCCGCGACAAGGCAGGCCCGCGAGCTTGTGATTCAAGTCCTGCGCCACAACGCCCGCTTCCCCGATGAGCCCTGGACATCGCAGCCACGCACCCTGCAATGATCTGTTTGATTGCGTCTTCAGCTTTCAGCAGATTGGCATAGACGCATAGAGCCCCTGACGTCAAAGCATGCGCTTGCAGGCACCACTTTGTAGAGTTCGTTCTTTCTTTGCCACTGCTTCGCCATTCCTTTCAACCAGTCTCGCAGCTCACTTCTAGGGTGTTGAAGTTTAGGTGCCAGTGCTCCAGGATGCTGCAGGCGCCTGTCCGCCAAAGCCTGAAAACAATCCCTCCGCTTCCTCTCGAGGCTTCGTGCTGCTGCTGGGCAGCTGGGTGTGAGTCCGGGCAGCGATGCCGCTCTCCTGGGCCTTGCGAGGCTATGCGGAGTTTGGGACTTGGGGAGAGGGTCCTGCATTCCTTGAGCTTCCAAGTTGGCTGTTCACGTGAGCTCCTCCAACTAGCAGCAGCTGGCCTTTTGAGTTCGCAACATCCCACAGCTTCGATGCTTTTTCACGGCCTTGCTGCTAGGCGGAACCGCGATGGACGATC